TTCAGAGTCTCTAGAAGTTCACACCTTTGAAGAATACCTGACAGTGTCAGCTATAATCAAAGAGGTACATAGTTGTATAATAAATAGATGTAGTCTGCGAACACTCAGATATGGAATATAAATATCGAAGTGCTTCATAAGTTTTTAGACATCCTCAAGCAATAGAGAAGAGACCTTTAACAATATAATATTGTCTTTAAGATTCTATTGTACTTCACTTACTTTACTTTACTTTTAGTAGTCATAAATGAAACAAGTGAAATCTGAGCCTTCCTAAAAAATTACCGTCTACAGAAACGAATATTGGTTGGCCTAGATAACTCTGAAGTCTATCAGGTTGTCTCCACCTTAACAGTCTTGCCGTGTTTCAAGAGAGATAGTATCACTTAGTGGAGGGAATCCCATCGGCGGTAAGGATTCAGAAGAGCAAGGTGAGGAAGGCAACTACAACCTGAACTGAGTAACTTGAAAGGTATGGCCAAATATTACTACATGATAGACCCTAAAGTTACTAACTTAGGCGTTTTCCAATGAGGATCATTTAAATGGAGATAATGACATCTACTACTTCCAGTGCTGATGGGAAACAAAGAGAGGAAGCCTATTGTGCTAAAGCTAAGCAAGTCCATCAAACAAGATATCACTACTGGGTGAGGCCCGGATAACTCCCTTATTAAAGAAACTGAAAACAAGCCAGGCAAGGGCGGGAGAGACTGTTGAAGAAAAACTGTACCCCTAAGCAAGAACTACCAGGGAAGTAGAGAGAAGGATAGATGGCTCATGATAATTGTAGGCTTTATTACAGGGCCCCATTTCTCAGGAGTAGGGATAAAATAACCTCAGTTAATCTTATTAACTGGGTAAAAAAAAAATCCGCCAAATCAGACTAAAACTGACAGAAATAGACCTATTTGAAGTTGTTGAACTTCAAAGAACTATAACTTACTCAGTTTTAGTCTGATTTGGATGATTCTCTTTTTTTAACTTGAAGTTAATAACCTACTCTTAGCACCCCGTTTGTCAGAAATAGCACCCCATAATGAATGCTAGATAGTTAACTATGGTGTTATCAAACTATGTAGGAGGAAAATAGAAGCGACAAAGCATGCTGTACTGGAGATTCTTTTTTGTTTTTTTTGTTTCTTTTGTCATTTCATTTATTTCTTCAGCTTTACATACAGTAAGGCTGGGAGTCATATCAGATTGCACCATGTAGATCCATGCCTCCACTCCGCCTTGTTTTCCAGCAGTCAGAAGAAAAACTATGACTCTAGAAAGACAAACAACCACAGCCAAGTGCCCAATCGTCAGATCCCACAACTTGAATATGGAGGGATCTCGCTTAAAGCTACTGATACCTAACTAGTCCTCAGTTTAAAAAACTCCCCTACCAGTTTCCTGCATGGCTATCTACAAACAGTAAAGACAGAAAGCCCAGAAACTCATTCTTCGAAGTAAGGAAATCACCTATTATGACAAAACACTCCTCACCGAACAGAAGAAAACTCCAACTAAGGAAACCTCAAACTATTAGCTGAAACCAACACCTTGCCTATGACAACCAGATACCCAGCTTGACCCATATAACAGACCACACATATGAAGTTGAAATAATGAGTAGGTACGCTGTATAGGTAACATAAATATATTTCTTGGGCATATAGCCCATAGACGCAAGTAGGAGAAACAGTAAGGAAAGAGCACCTACTGTGAGCAGGAGGTATTGGCGAAATAGGAGCCCTAAGCCGTCCATCTGAAAGGGCAGGTAGGACTACCCAACGTTGCAAAAGAGGAAGTAGTAGTAGAGTCCCAGCCAATGTAACCAAAGAGAAAAGGGAGGTAGGACCCAAGACCCCAGTACTAACCCAACCGAAACCGAACCGTTGCTGTATTACTGCGTCTCTCATATAGTTCCTTGTATTGGGAGAGATAGTATCACTTAGTAGAAGGAATCTTACCGGCAGTAGAGAGGTAGAAGAGTGTAGAAAAGAAGGTGACCATAGCTTGAACCAAGCGACTAGGTGGGTATGGTCTAATCTCATTGTGAAACAGACCCCGAAGTTACTAGCTGAGGCATTCCCCAACGGGGATCGTGTAAGTAGGGAGAAAGACATCCACCACTACCAGCTCCAACCGGAAGCGAAGCAAGAAAGCCAACTGTGCCAAAGCTAAGCTAGCTTCTATTAGCAAGACAGGACTACTGAGTAAGGCCAGATAACTCTCCCATCAAGCAGACAAGAGACAAGTGAGGCGAAGGTGGAAGAGGATGGAAGAGTTAACCATACCCTTAAGTAGAAACCATTGAAAAAACAGAGGAGAGTGGGAGGGACCCATGATAGTTGACGTGATATCACCAAACTATGTAGGAGGAAAACAGGAGCGACAAAGAGTGCTGTACCAGAGATTCCTGGATTCTACTATTTATACAAACATGTTAACCAACCCTATCCCTCTGTGACTCATACCTTTACATTACCATATCCTATGACTCATAATCGTGAGTCATGTGAGATCCTCAGCTGACTTGTATAAGTCAACTGTATAATATACCTAAACCAATCCTAAATCTTATAATAAGTCATTTGGGCTAAGTGCATCACATACATGAGACTCTTGACTCATAAGTATGAGTCACGCACAAAAGTCATAATATTATATGACTCACAACTGTAAGTTATCAAATAACAATAAATACCTATAACTCACAAGTGCGAGCCATGTGCAAACCTTTATTCCTCCTTGTCAATCTGCCTTATCACAATCCGGTTTGTGATAATTAGTACTCTATCTACTTCAATAAATTTAGTATAAAATAATAAAACCCTACTTTGTACATAATACTTCAATACTCCATTCTCACGAGCATTTCTAATAACTTCTAGCATTCTTTCTGGCTGACCTAATTCTAATAAAAATCCAACTTTATCAAGATTATAAGTATTTTAAGTTGTGATTTTATAATGTTACACAATTGATTCTAACTATACAATTTAATTAACATATATGTAACCAGTACTGGTACTCAGTTAAGAGTTTTGTTTTATGTTTTGTTTTAAGTATTACTTTAATACTTGTCTTGCTTTAAGTATCATTTTGATACTTAAGTTGTTTTACTAAAGAATATCATTTAATATCTTTAATTCATTTCATTCATGCTAGACATGAACAGAATTGTGTATTTAAAGACTACATGATTCTACAATAGAAAAAAGCAGACTTCGACAGACAGTATTTCAATATACTTGGTTGAATAATTACCTCTTTAATTTTTTCCAGTCCACCTTTGAAGTCTCCTTTAGTTTGCAGCCCTCACCTCCTCTCTGGAAGAGCAGGCTTTCATACTTTACCCAGAAACATAATTAGCTCCTAGTAAACACCTTACACTATATTTATTAAAACTAACTAGAAAATAAAAAACATAAAAAACAAGAAAAAATAAAAACATTAAATAAAAGCATCAAATAAAAATAAAGAAATATCTTATCAAAGAAATAATTCATTAATTGCTAATTATTTTTACAAATATTGCGAATGATATCTAATTGTTTACTAAAATGGGACTTCACTTCTAGATGTCTTCTCTTAAAACCTTCCTCCTATCACTTTTTCTGTATCCCTTGTTGATTTCTCTTACATATAACAGAGGTTGCAATTTCATGTAATTGTCATACAGTTGGAGGAAAATCCAAACAGCAGTGGAAGTAGTATCGGTCTATGACTGCTCGCTCTTCTTCCACCAAGAGCTTTTGCCTTCTCTGACCCTCCTCTTCCTGATTCTTTCTTTCTTTCTGGTGATACATAATCATAGAGGGAGTTGCTCCTACTATTCTAGCAGCAACAGTAAGGCTTGGAGCTGTTCCAATAGCAGCCATTTTGATGGCCATTTGCTCTTGAATATGGACCAGAATTGTAGCCTGAGAGTTGCTCAATTCCATTATCAGAGTATATAGTATGAAACGGATGGTCAGATTTTGTTGATTTGTTGATTCTGTTACTTGAGGTTAGGATGACATGACGAAATTCACTTCACTAACTATGTTACTAACTATTTTGACTTGACTAACTATATCTGAATGCCAAGGTATGCCGCGCCTCGCTGAGGGTGCCGCCTCGCTGAGGGGTCTGGCGGTTTAGTATACAGGCACTACAGCTCAACTTCCACTACCCGCAAGCATATTATCATACGAGTACAACGGCCTAGTCTACCGGCAGGGGCCGCGGACCCATCCATCGAAGCTATTTGATGAAGCCCTCATAGCCGGAGCAAGGGTAGGAACCATGCGCCACTACGGCTCGAGCACCACAAATCCTCGCTTGATGACTCTATCATAACAACAGTAGCCTTCGGGGAATCGCTTCCCACCCCGAACCCTGATTCCTTCTCTTTCACTTATCCACAAAGTGTTCTCGTCGGGTTCGGCGATGGGCGCGACAAGGCATGACGGTAGCTCGAGTGAAATCGTCGTCATGCAACATCTCCACATGCTTGGCCTAAGTCCTTGTCTGTACTCGTACAGTACGAGTATCATATCAACCAGTTTTTCTTTTTTTTGAGTAGAGCAAGAAATATTGTGCGGGTTAGCAGACGCTACCAATGAGTGCACAATTATCATAGAGAGCCAAGGTTACTGTTATCACAAAAGAGGGTACAGGTTTCATTTTCCTGTGGTTTTCATTGCTGAGTTTGCATCCGGCTAAAGCAACGAAGGGGGCAGACATGAATAAGGAAGAAGTAAAAGCACCAAATCATATCAGCAGCCACCCCCGAGGTGCTTGTGCCTCCGTGAGCGGCTATACTCGAGTAGAGATACCTCGAGCATTGTCCAAGCTTAGGGTATACCCCTCAAAATCCATATTTCGGGCGCCAGGCTGCCTTCCCTTGCACCTTTCAGCTCCACAATCCCTCCCACAGGGACAGAACAGACAAAAAACTAATCGCCGAAAGCGTTCAGAAGTTCCAAGCTAAACGAACTCGAGTACAGTACATCTCGATCGCCATCATGAAGGTTGCATTTTACAGCTCAAAGAAGGTAAGCCCCGCTTCTTTTTTGTTAGCGACTCTGTTCATTGACTCGACTTCTCACCGCCTCGGTTTGGCCCCCTCCACGCAGGTCGATTAACAAGTTGGTTGGGGGTGGCAATCCAACCCCGCCATCTTTTATCGATAAGCTTGTTTCCACCCTCTCATATAGAACCAAATCTAACCCATTCTTCACAATAGTACGACATCGACTCATTCGGCGATGCAAACAGCAACACCGGTATTGAGTTAAACTTTTTGGAAAGCCGGCTCGAAAAGTCCACTGTTCCACTGGCCGCCGGCCATGATGCGGTCTGCATATTTGTCAACGACTATTGCGACGCAGACGTATTGGAAGGGTTGGCAAATCTAGGAGTGGTATGCTTGTGAAGCTCTATACACTCAATCCTGTTAAGACAAACCACATCTAATATATCCTTTATTGCGCCTCAGAAATGTGTTGCTCTCCGCTGTGCAGGGTTCAATAATGTTGACTTGCAAGCTGCTGAGCGTCTTGGGATAGAGATCTCCCGGGTTCCTGCATACTCCCCTGAAGCGGTTGCCGAGTTTGCCGTTGGGATGATCATGACTGTTGTGCGTAAATACCACAAAGCATACAATCGGGTCCGTGAGGGAAACTTCCTTTTGGATGGACTCCTCGGTTTCAATCTCTTCCAGAAAACAATTGGTATAATTGGCACAGGAAAGATCGGACTGCTCACCGGAAAAATCCTCGCAAAAGGCTTTGGGTGCAATGTTATTGCATACGACCTCTACCCTGGTAAACAGGCCGACGAGTATGGAATCCGCTACGTCAATACGCTGGAAGAGCTCCTGAGACAATCCGACATTATTAGTCTACACTGCCCTCTTACCGCTGGCACAAAGTATATGATCAACAGTACCACAATTGGACAGACGAAAAGGGGTGTAATTTTGATCAACACCTCTCGTGGCGAATTGATTGATACCGCTGCCCTCATCAAGTAGGTATGCCCTCTGCCAAGTTAACGGGGTGTCCATGTTCGCCACCTAACGACAATACAATTATCATAGCGCCTTGAAGTCGGGTCATCTCGGAGCAGTTGGCCTAGACGTCTACGAAAAAGAGTCCGCCTACTTTTTCGCGGACTCGAGCGCTAAAATTATCTATGATGACAATTTCGCTCGTCTGCTTTCTTTCTACAATGTGTTTGTCAGGTAATCAACATTCTAAACTATTCACACCCAATACAATGCTAATCAATTGGGAAGTGGGCACCAGGCTTTCCTAACGGTGGAAGCCTTAAAGAATATCGCCGACACAACTCTCCAAAATCTTCAGGACCGTGCTAACGGCAAAAAGTCTCCCAACCTTGTGGAGAGAAAGTAAACCGATTATTTGATTTCTATGAAATTTTCTATACTTTATCTCTCTCTGCCTCCTTCTCTCTTCGCCACAAATGTGAGCCAGATACCTCTAGTTAAAGGTATCCAGAATCGGTATTCTAGCACCCCTCTTCTCCAAAGAAACATGGACACCATCCATAAATCAATTCCGTAGGACATATACCTAACAATTTTAAAACTCCATATCCAAGTTCTGTGTGCGGTCGAGGTTATGTTCGGTGTTATGAGAGGCGAGGCATCTTGCCCTTGATCAATTTACCCGTATGCATGTGCATACCCCCACCAACTTGATGATTCTCAGATCGGCAGGCCCAGCCATGACACAAACACCGCCTCAAAAGCTGCGAGTAAGAGGAGGTTTCAATCAAGTAAGTATTTTACACGCTATCCCTACACCCGCAAAGGTTCGTGAGCGTGACTTCGGCTCTCGGTGACAGGCACTCACTACAGCTCCGGTACACTTTCCCCACAAACATACAGAAAGGATTTGTAACCGCCACATGAGTGTTGTACAGCGCAAGGCTTGGGATCATACAAAACCTGGCTAGAAAGTGCTGTCGGAGAACTATACCCAGGGCGTAGCTACAAGTGAACCAACAGACAACATCGCTCCTAGCAAAAGTTTCCCACATTACCTGGGGACCCCTCGCCCTGGCACCGGCATTGGTGCGATCAGCGAGGAAGGAAAGATTGTTCCAGTTTCGAAGGGCCGGTATAAACTTATACGAAAATATTGGGTGCCCGGTTCCGGCTACGCTCACCTCCGCAACTTCCAGGAGGGTTTCTAGAATCCGGCTAGGGCTCGTGTGTGCAAAGGAGGGGTGGCAGGGTTTGTTAAGGTTTGGGTGGATGTAGTGTATAGGATGGCGGGAAAGTGTCAGCAATCATCGCGGGTCACTCGTGCTTGTCGGAAGGCATGGATGCAAACGATGGCTTGGATGCTTAGGGAAGATCTTGTGTGTGAATACTCATAGTTGGACACTCGGCCGTGAACTGCCGGAATGATCCCTTTCGGCTACACATGTATTCCAGATTACTACAACGATTTAACGAGTGCAGAGGTCACAATAACAGCTCCTCCTCCTGCCCTTTTGGCCTCACAAACAAAAGCCGCTTAAACCACCTCCCAAGTCCCTCACAAAAAATAACCCTAAGGGCGAAGCGTAAACCTCTTAAAAAACTGGACAATCACCTCCGTCGCATCCATGGTCCCAAGGACAGGCGGCACAGTAGCGAACGTCTGGTCATCCTGTGTATTGTCCTCGTTCGGGCTCAGTGACGGCCAATCGTGCAAGCCATTCTTGGTGCGATAGTGCAAAACCTCCACGTCCCCGTTGCACTGGTAGTACCTGGATAAGAAGGTCTCCTGTCCCGACGACGGCTGCACCGCTCCGGGGACAGGTACATCGAGTTCCTGCGACTTGCAGCCGTTATAATTCCCCCAGACAGTCGCCCACTTTGGAAGGTTCGGGATGCGAGCCACTCGGCCGGGGGGATCGCACAAGTCGCCAAGGCAGGACTCCCACCTTCAAGAGCCTTGATACTTTACCGCTCTGTCGCTGTCACCGTAGAAGTTTATGACGGGGATGGGGTGCTTTGGCGAGCAGGAAGGGTCGGGATCAAGGCTCGCAGTGGCGTAGTAGAAAGGTCCGGACACGGGGGCAATAGCGGCGATCTGATCGCCGTGATAACATGCAAGGTAATTCGCGAATTCCGCACCGTTGCTCTTTCCCGCGACATAGATCCTATCCAGCGCAGCCCAGGGCCCGTACTCCCTCTTAACCAGGTCGATCAGCGCATCGAAAAAGGCCACATCATCGCGGACCGTCTCCGGCGGCCCGGTTCCCGGTACTTTAGGCGTGCAGTAGGGCGCGCCTTGCCAGCATGACTTTAGCGTTCCGTGACTCATCTCCGTGCTGTCCCGCCCGAGGCCATTCAGTCCCTGGGGATACAGCACTATAGAGCAATACCTCCGATCGTGAAAGTGCGAGAGCTCGCGCATGCGCCCCGGACTCGACCCGCGGCCGTGGTAGGAGATTATGATTGGGTAGGGCACCGGCTCGCAAGTGTAGGTGCCGGAACCGGGGCCATCAGCGAGGACGGTGCGCTGGACGGCGCCGACCATTACCGGGATGGTTCGTTGGCTCCAACCTGTTGGCATGGGGTCGCCTCGCGGGCCGAGCTCGGGGCCGCTTGTCGCTGTGCCTCCTCCGCCTTTTACCGGAGGGTCTGGGTCTGGGTCTTCTTCTCTAGTTACTGCGGTGGCGCCGAGAGTGAGGATGAGGGGTGCGATTGCGAGAGTGATGAGTCTCATGGCTGCTTTTGCTTGCTTATCTTTGTTCTTGCTATTGCTGCTCTCGTACTGCTGCTTGCCTTCGAGGTCAATATTTCTCTGCGGGGCCTGATGCCCTTCATACACCCTTCCCAATCGCAATTCTCACCCGTTATATCTCTTACTCGCTCAGCTTCCTCCACCGCGCGCCCATCCAAAAACCAGTCATTCCATACGGCAAAAATATCCCCCGACCCGCTCTTGGCTCAATGAATTCTCATCTAGCAACGCACAATATTCACACTTCTGCAAGAGCTTCAGACACAGATCTCACAAGCAATAGGACAACTCAAAGACACGGAAGTGCAAGAAAAAACCCAAATCAATATTACAGGATTCTATAGTTCAGCCCTACCAATCAATTCCCCCACCAAGGGCCCTAGAAGGGGATTTTTACCCCTCGAGCTGAACTCTGGGGTTACAGGCAGCAATGCTATATATCGTGCCACACCTCATTTACGGAACCCTCCAGTAGGGTTTGGACCGTAGGTTGTGGAGTAAATTGCGATGCCGGTATGATACAGCATGTAGTTTCCCCGTGCTGACGGGGACGGGCATGTTACACTATCCGCGCTGGTGGATAAACCTAACCTCGATCATGGGTCTCTCAAATGTTATATCATAACAATGACAATGTCATTGTTATGATATAATATTATTATTATATTATAATACTTGGTATCATACTCCTCTAAACTGCCAGGTCAAAAGGTATGGATCCGGTCGCGATAAACCTGTTCGTAGTAGGGAAAAATAATTGATCAACTTCAAGCTGAATGATCACTCCCAACGAGAAAGTTTTTTTACTTGAAGATCATAAAGACGTAGCTTGATACCTGCTGCGCCAATATGAGGACTGGAAGGCTATAATATTTGAGTTAGAAGTTGAGGCATTTTGTATAGGACTCTCAATTAATGGCCACCTACAAAATGCAAGCAAAAATAAACAAAAATAATTTTTTTCAAAGGTGAGGCATCTCACTAGCCCTAATTTGGGAAAACTATAATGTTCATTCGTAGGTACAAATTGAGTGTTTCCGTTATCTCAAGATTACTTTTGTAAGTTTCCGGAACCTAATAGGAGAAGAAATGTTAAAAATTGCCAGCAAAATCCCAAAAAGTACCGACATTTTGCTTAATGATCAAGCCGAACAATGGGCGCATGTACAGTACAGGTTTATCAAGACCAGAACCATACGGAGAGCTTGCACTGCGGATTAGGTGTACTGTACAGTATTGTATCAAGGCGAACCCTCCCAGGCCACCTTACGAACACTTGAATTCCATGTCCTATCCGATCATCAGCATGATACCTACAAGTATAATACTCGGTACCCGGCACAAATACATACTTCTCTAATTTGTTCCGATACTTGTACTCGTACAGGTACTCGAGTACAGAGCCAGGATAAGGCATCACATTATGACCTTGAGATTAAAAAAAAAAAAAAAAAAAAACGGATAGAAACCCCACGCGAACGTGCTAATAGCGCCTAACACTTCCCAGATTTCGTAGCCGGGGGACGACGACCAGGAAATCAATCACGGTACGAGGCAGTAAAGCCACACTCGTGGAGATTTTGGTGGTGGGATTCGCATAGGCAGCTGTTCTTTCGGCCCTTGGCAACTAAAAAAAAGACCCACTCTTTTTCCTCCAACCCCCAAGACAAGAAACACACAGCGCCATAGCAAACAAAGAGTACTGTACGAGGGGGGGGAAAGAAGTAGTGCGACACAGTAGCAACCGCTTCCCACAAGATCACAACTCTACTCCCAACCACTCATCACTACAATACTCACTATATCCCCCACCACCTGCCAAACCATTTCAGAAAAGTACTATAAGGGTAAAGGGAACCCGCAGAAGTGAGCATAAGTAGTTTAATTAAATGAATATGTACATAAAGTTGAAATAATAATAAAATTAAATGATTTAGCAATTAGTCCACAAAATCTTGAGCGGTGGCGATCGTTGACAAAGAAGCGACAGCACTTCGAGCGGGAAACCACGCGTGATGACCGGATCCGTATTATTGCTCTCCAAGAAATAGCTGAGTGGTCTTTCAGAAAGATAGCTGCCGAATTGGAGGAAAAAATAGGCCTTAAAGTTCACCAGAGTACCTGTGCTCGCATCTATCAACGGTATTGGGAAACAGGTAGTCCTTCCAACTACCAGTGAATAGGAAGACCTCCAATCTTCCAGGAGTCTGATCTATTTGATCTAAAGTCTTTTATTAAAGAAAATAAAAGAAATAGAAGACTCTCTTGGGAGGATATTAAAGAAGAGAAGGGATTAAAGGCATCATCCAGGACAATTAGGAAGGCAGCTAAGAGTCTTAATTTAAATAAAAGAAAACCACACAAGAAGTAAGTACTTTAATGAAGATTCAAGTGTTTACATAACTAAAAGATATTTTAGATGGTGATTGCGCCCTAAAAATATACCAATTAGATTTGGTTGGTGTATGAGAAAAAGAGCTTAGAAACTAAGAGACTGGTCCAGAATCATATGGACTGATGAAACCTCATTCTCTACAGCTGGATTTGGGCAGAGAGGATGGGTGATAAGAGAACCTTCTGAGGAATATGATCAGGATTGCATTGATGAGGTCTGGGAGTCAGGAAGGGAGACAGTTATGGTATGGGGAGCCTTTTGTGGGGATTTGAGGTCAAAGCTAGTGGTAGTACCAGGAAAGGTTAAAGTGGATTCTTATAAGTATACTAAGTATATTCTGGATCCAGTTTTAATTCCTTTCTGGCATGAGTGTTGTGAGAGATTTGGTTGGACTAGGGTTGTTGAAGATGGTACACCAGGGCATAAAGGATAGGTTCTACCTCCTTATAATTATTGTATTTTCTGTTTTTTGATATAGAAATACTTACTTAAGAATATAATCTAACTACTGGTTTAATCACAGATATTCTACAAAGTGTAGAAAAAGGAATGGGGTGGATATATTGCCCTGGCCACCACAGTCACCAGACCTGAACTTAATTGAAAATATTTGGGGAGATATGGAAACTTACTTGGGGAAAAGGTATGGAAGAGTTGCAAGCAAGGAAGAGCTAATCAGAGCTGTGGAGGAAGCATGGAAAGCTATTCCTGATGGAAGGTTTATGGATCTTTGCAGAAGTATGCCAAAGCGGGTCAGAGAGGTTATTAGAAGAAAAGGGCACCAAACTCATTATTGATTTATGATTTTCTTTTTATTTTACTTTAAGGAAATACTAAGCATTTTTTAATTTTATCTCCTTTACTTATTTTATTTATTGAATATTGTTGTGGAAAATGGTAGTACTATATGTTGTTGATATTGTTTCCGTGCGGGAATTTGTGTTGCACGGGTGTCGCATTACTTTCTTCCCCCCCCCTCGTACAGTACCGTACGGCACAGTCTTATTATTATTATCATACACCGCGCCAGAAAACCCCCCCCCCACAACAACAGGAATAACCGCGGACCCCGCTCAACCACGCCGTACTCTCCATATTGGAAGAAGAAGAAAAAAACCCCCCCAAAATATGATATACCCCCACCACCAGCACCACACACACATGCCGGTACAGCGTACTCGTATAACCCAATAACCTACCCCCAAGGTAAGGCAAGGCAATGCCATGCCGTGACCTCCTCCCCCCCTCTCCTCCCACCTATTTTTTTCATGTGATGAAGAGTGCACCGTACTGCATCTTTCCTTGCCCTAACGCCGAAACAGGTTGTTGCAATTCCAGCGCTAAGCCGAAAACGCCCTGGTTGCGGTCATGGGGTGTCACTCGGTGGGTTTTGTCGGAGACGGTCGGTCGGGCGTTGTGTGGGTTGGTGGTTTGAATATCATACTCTAGTTGGACCGCTAATGGATGGGTGGGTGGTGGTGATAGGCATAACGCTCATTGTATGTAGCGGTTGTTTTGCCCGAGGAATTGGACTTCCGTTAAAATTCTTGTATTGGTGAAAATATGAATGGTCGGTTGATAGTAATGACTATGTTGTATGGTTTGCAAAGGTGGAGGGACAAAGCCTCACAGCAAAAATTGAGCTACATACTCGAAACCGCCCGCTCATGCATGGAATGAACTCGCCCACAAAAAATCTATACAGGAGCTTGTACTGCACACATCATCATCATCATCAAACTTCCAACCCCCATAAGAGTTCCTCCAGAACCCCCTCCTTCTCTCCAGCCTCCACGAACCCACTACCCTTCTTTGCATCCTCATCCTTGGCCTTCGCTTCCCTATACTCCTTCCCAACAAGGCCCATAAGCTCTTTCTGAGGCTTCCCCGGGTTCTCTGCCTTTATCCTGCTAAAGTTCTCCTTCATGAAGGCCTGGTAGCCTGTGATCGGTCTCTTCACCTTTGGCACAGGTTGTGTCTGTAGGAGTCGCCCGCTAGTACAGGCACCGCATGAGTGCTTTTCGGGGTCAATAGATTGCGAGTGGCGCATGTAGATGTATTTGCATTGGAGGTTTTGGCAGGTCCATTGGTATTTGCACTCAATTTCGTAGGAGTGGGTTGTTGTTACCTTTACCCCGAGGTGGGAAAAGGCATGGGTACATTGCGCGGCCCTATGAAGGAGGTGTGTTAGTGTGTGTTAAGGCAAGGTGGAAGGAAGGGAGAGTAATGCCATTTCTTGAAGCTTTCACCGTGGGGCGGTTTCCGGACATCGCTGATCATGTAGTTTGCTAAATGGCACCATTCGTGGCAAAGGACATTGTAGAGTTTTTCTGTGACAACCTTAGCCCTTGCCCATAGATCTCTAGAACCTGGATGAACCTACCTTCGTTATCAACGACCTTCACCGATAGTTCAATCGTCGCATGGTGTCTCACTCGGTCTGCTAGTTCATGGCCGCCCATAGCGACATGCCCATCGGGCAGCCTAAGTTTCTCCACCTTCCACTTCGCCATCCCGGCAGTCGTCCTTAAAGTCTTACTCCATATAATCTGCACGCCACCCGTATTCGCACATTTTGACCCAACCTCACCATTAGCGATCTTGTCATCAACCTTTTTCAGAAATTCTTCGGCAAGCGCTTTCTTCTTCGCATCGAAGGATTTCTTCAATGCCCGCTTTTCTTTCAAGTCCATTGTGGAGGGTGTCAACGGTGCTATGGTGCCTTCTGGCATCATTAAGTTGGGGGTTTGAAATAGTGACCTTTGGGCCGGAGGTCTTTTCTGCGGGGAGTGGGTATCTATCCAAGAACTTGTCTCGCGCTCGTCCCAGAATAAATCACTCGTTGGATGATGCGGTGATGGTGGTATTACCGGGGCTATCTTCTTTGGTGGATCTAGCTTGGGTGTAGCACTTGTGTTTTGCGTTGGGCGGGTGGGCCTGAAAACCTTGCAAGGCTTTGTAGATCGAGGTGGAGAACTGTAGGTATTGTTAGCACTTGGCAAGCCTAATCTGACGCGAGGGGGAATTTTTACTACGAGAGAATAGCCTCAGTTGGTAGCTTGAAACTTTTCGAACTGCCGTGTGACTTGAACCCCTCGTCCTCAGATGACGCCTCAGTCCGTCGAGTGGACGAGGCAGTAGACTGCTTAGAACCTTCGCCCTCTGAATCGGATGAAGAGGTTAAATCTATCGTCAGTCGCTGAAGTTTCTTAATACCCAACTGCTCAACTTCCTCCTCACTATCCTCTTCCGGCGTAAATTCATCATCTGAGCTCAGGACAGTTTTGCGGCTTCGCCGGTACTTGGTAAACGCTGGTGGCGGCAGTGGGGCTCGCGACTTTCCAGCGCGTTCCTCCTCAGAATCTGTTAAATGTTAGCACTACCGCCTCAGCGAACAAGCCCAAAGCCATCGCACACACCAGAGCTGTCCAAAATTGCCGGTGGTACGGTGGAGCGCTCGCGGAACGAACTCCCTAGGCCTTTCGTCTTTGTAGGCTCGATAGACCTTCCCGTTGCATTCGTCCCCTCTACCAAAGCGCCTTTAAACTTTCCGCTAACAGATCGGCCCAGCTTCTTCTTCTTCACCACCACCTCCGGATCCCCGTTCAACAATTTCGAGACTGTTCTAGGTTTTCTTATAGCCGTGACAGGTGTCTTTGCGCTACCTTGACCATCGCCCGGACCTCCAACTATACCAATCGCAGCCTTCTTCGCCGTGCCCCCAACAACAGCAGCCTTTGAGGCCCTCGTTTTCGATGCTTTCGGGGGAGTAACCGGGTCAAACAATTCCAATGGAGAGGCACTCTCCCCCCGCGCTTGAACAGGTGCAGCATAACGTTCCAGCAGCTTCTTCATGTCTGGAAGTTCATCGTCGAATTCATCGCTAGAGTGTGACATTATAAACGCTAATGATAATATATATCAGGGTGTTTGGCCGGATCTGCTGTTGCAAGAGGGAGGGATGGTGAACAACAAGAGCGATAAACAAAGAATTGCTGTAGAGTCAACAGGGTGGTTGCTGTGACAACAGTAGACATGGAAATTTTGGCTTATCGATAGCGGGCCGGGAGCCTAGGGGCACAAGAAATGCTTTAGCAACCACGTGAGGGCAGGGGGGGAGAGTTGTGGTATGATAGCATCACCTGCCAGCATGATACAGTATGATATCACTCGGGCCAATACCCCAGCTTGGTTCCACTCTCCACACAAAACCTGACACCTCTCTCTGATCCTATGGTACGAACAGTGTAGTACTCAGCGCAGGAGTGACCTCAAACTATGATATATGATATCAAGACTCCACCAACGAGAAAGGTTCAGTCCACCAAATTTACGAGGTTTCTCCCCAGCCAGCGGATGATTTACAGCGCCAGAAAAAAGTGACAAATCTATGATACCCCAGCTCCACCCCACTCCACTCCAATGAACAATGTGCTAGTAACCCATAGTACTGTACAAAATTTCCTCCTCCGGAAAAGGTGCGAAAGGAAAAAAAAAACGCAGCAAAAAAATAAATAAAACAAAAACTGCTCCCAGAGACGAGTGAGTGAGAAAGAAGAAAAATAAATACCCAACATTGCTATCCTACCCGTAGGAGAGGCGGCTCCAACATCGTAAATTGATAGCACAGGGTCAATTCTTACTGGGGGGAATATATGACAAAGCGCTAAGCAACATGAAGACACCCCACAGCATTATCCTCACATACAATCACTCGGGCCCAAGCAGCCAGAGAACGTGCCGTACAGTATCATATTCCCCTATTTTGGACATTACCGACCGGACCTATGCAAATCGTGTTTTTACCCATCACAAGTGATGGTCAATTCGGCAAGTATCATACTGTACTGTACAGTATCGTCCCCCCCATCAACAGTACCCCCAACCTACGATCCAGGAATAGAAGTAGAAAGTTCAGACATTAGCGCTTCCCGACTGATCTCCCTTTGCACGTTTTCTCCAAAGTGCTGACAGAAAGACCCTCCAAAGCTATAGTAGCACTGCCTCACGTCTTCAACGAAACAGCAAAGAAAAGAAAAACAAGAAGAAAGAAGAAGAAAACTGCTGCGCCCCGCACCAGTCATGTACCGATACCAGCATGTGGAAGGCCCCACCCATGCCGGTCCTCGTTATCTTGCGCAGCTTCAAAGACGTTCTTATGATGGACCATACCTAACCACCATCCAGAATGTCGTTACGACCTTGTTTTCCTCTTCCGGCCGTTTAGAGGTATTCGGCTATATCATAAGAGCATGGACATTTCGGGGTCGGCGGTCTTTCAGATGATTACTCTGATGCACACTCTCTTGCTGGGCTGTGCTGTGGGTAGGTAGATCTTGTTCTCCTGGGTGAAAGAAGGGGGATGGCTGGCGCCAGTAAACATGATAGATCTGTCCGAGTCCTGCACGGGATAGTGATTGCGGTAAACGCGTCTGTGGGAGCAAGTATTGGAAGGGATTACGTGCCTTCTGATCTGAATTGCTGGGGGCAGAGCTGGTGGAAGTAGTGTCGGTTGTGCCATTTGCTGGCTTACAGTGGAGATGGGGAAATTGTAAAGTGTCCTGCTCTCCGGATTACGGGTCATCCATCTACCGTATCGACAATGCTGACTTTCAGGGCAGCCGGAATGGTAAAATGTAGGAAGTGTCAATGTTTATTTTACAGCAATAGAGGTCCAAGTGAATGTCCGGTGATGGCATTTCATGACCTTTAAGGGAGCAAGAATTACAGTTTGTCGACTGCCCCTATGGATGTCTCGAGGGAGGGTTGGAAGTGCAAGCGCTTGGTACATTCCGCTAATAGAAGTTTGTGTCCTGTAAAGGGCTTCCACGGAACCCGAGCCAGTTCAGTTTCCCATCTACTCGTACAGCAATTTTAACGAAGCTAGGCTAGATACCGGAAGACGATATCTTCACTTCCACGAAGCCCAACTCGAGGAAAATCGCTACCCACCAAGCTAAACCAAAATTAGTCCCGCTTAATCGCCCTGAAAAGAATGGATATCTTGTAGCCCGCACAGTATCCCATGATCATGTATACGCCATCAAATTGCGCAGAGCGATACATTGGGATGCAGGGACTGGCCAGGTCGCTGTGCTAGCACACAAGCTCCGATCAGAATATGCCACCACGATGGGAGACTGGCGGGGCCTGCCATCTATCCGGACAAAAGAACCGGCCATAGTGTGTCCAGCAAGTGCACTCCACAACCACTCTCAGAGCGGGAACTACAAGCTCCCTCACGACGGCCCAAAATGCTTGACCTTAACACCAAACAATCCCACACCCAAAAGCCCCTCCTGCATAACACTCCCGCCGGCATCGAACGCGAGAGCAACTGGCACTCGTGCGCAAGTGTGAGTGTTCGACGTACATTGGTCACTTTCCCTCTGTATATCCCACTCTTGCACACCCCAGTCTATTCCCACGTTGTTGGGGAATGCGCTAGAGGCGGGAATCACGGCACTCTCACACACCCACCACCGCCGGTTTGGAAACCACTAGCGGCCAGGATAGGTGAAAGTTTTTCGAAAAGTGCCATATCTTGATGCGTTCCCCGGGATCTCCCGGGTGGGGGAGTTGCATGGTGTTCAGAGGAGTTTGAATCGCAGGATCGCGTGCTTTCGATGGGGAAGACATTCGATTGGAAGGAGATAGGGTCGGGGAAGGTTGGTGGAAGAACTCGACGAGGAGAGTCGGGTGTCGCTCAAGATTGTGTGGAGGTGAGTGGGTGCGATAGTGCTAGGGATGAATGTATGAATGAATAGCGGGGGGGGGGGGGGTGTGGGAGGGGGGGTTATGATAGGAAATATGTTACCTTTTGTAAATTTGCGCTTGGCTATGATACCAGCACTTATATGAGCTACGGCATACCATTTCTGTGCCACCAACGGGTGTGTCAGGGCACTAGCTAAAAGACTAACACCCCCAGCGCTGATCAGCTGTGTGGGTTGGGATGCTACGATACTGTAGTTCCTCCAAATGCTGTGCTTGACCCACCGTACCCGTACAGTTAGGAACCGGAACAACCGAACACTACAGTACGCTAAGTCATTTAGAACCCCTCCTCCCTCTCTTCTAACATAATAAAGGGGGGGTGACCGCTAAAAAGAACACCACCCCCTTCAGCCCTCCGCCGATACATACGAGTACTAGGAGAGGTAATTCCAACGTTATCTGTGGGTCGGTATCGTATCGTACCTACCGTATACCACAAACCTCGACGGAAAACAAAACCCAAAAACCGAGTGATACAAAACAAACAAAGTTAAAACACTCGGCTTCTTTCCCTTTCCCTTGCTTTGCCCTTCCCATTTCGGAAAAACCTCTTTCTTCTCCCGCCAAGCAACCGGAGATATCCGCGCCGGCATGGACAACCACCCGAGCCGAGCCGTGCTCTCCGACGATTTTTCTGTTGGGGGGGGGGGAGTATGTGGGTGGGTGGGGGAGGACTGGAACAATCTGGTTTTTTTTTTTTTTTTTTTTTTTTTTTCAGGGGTAAAAAAATTAAAAAAAGTCAAGAGTACCGGTACCGTGCTGTACTCGAGTATGGTAGGTATCATAATTAAATTAATAGGTGATGGTGAGCACGAGCGCTCACTCGATTTATGGACTTTTTTGCCTCTCGTGTATACTAGTATATAGCGTATCGTGGCGATTGGGAGTTACTGGTTATATATTATCATAATATTTATTGTGAGTTACGTGCGCGGGTGGGCACGGGGGGGTAACTTAATTCTCGAGCATCGCGGTCCCAGGGCATGAATTTCTGGAGTTTCGGATGGGAAGCTTTGTGTGGGATGTTATTATGGAAGGAATTTGTCTAGTTACGAGTCGATTGGCATCGCGGGCCGTGGGGTCTCCTCATACAGTACCGTATCATAATTACCGTGTGTCCTTTCACCCCGACAGAAATTCCCCCCCCAAACCCGAGTGCGATCTCGTGACCGTGCGGAAATGTTTACCGGTACTCCACCCCCCCCTTGCTTCCAGCATCACCAACCGAGACAAATAACCAAACAAACAAAACAAAGAAGCCCAACCGCCACACACCCCACTCGCATACCCGCATACCCGTACGGTAATCGCACTGGGCTGGACTGGGCTTCACCCAAACCATCATAAATAAACATCCGAAACAAGAACAGAAATAGGTATGTATCCACAGCCTCAAATTACCCGCCTCCTATGATAGGTATTGTATTATAGTCTAGCTCGAATCCCTCTGCTCACACCGGTATCCGCATGCGTGCATCACGTTGATTGGGCACGGCTTCAAGTAAGGCACCGGTCGGTACTCGTACAGTAATAACTTTAGCTCAGTGGTCAGCCGCAGTGCCGTATGCTTTATGCGCGCGCCACCACCGATGCACTTGTATAGCTGAGGTCTTGCCGTCCATGATCCCCTAATTGGTACTTTAGCCGTAGCATATCATACGAGGGAGGGAAGGAGGGAGGGGAAGTTAGACTATCAGTTATCAGGTGGGGTCTGAACGGATCCATGCGCATCTGCCAAGAATCAACCTACCCTGCAATGGTCAGTGACTTGAGGGCCGAACGAACGAACCTGGAAGTGTGCAGACGGACGGACAGACATTCAGCACAAGCACCGTAGGCTTGATCTAGATGCGTGGCGTGGGCCAAGTTATTATATGATATTATTGTTCTTGTACTCGTCTTGGATGGATGAGATGGAGTGAATTTATTATTTTTCCTTCCGGGCTGGCTGAGGCGATGTGATGGCGGAATCATTCTACTCACCACATTCATGTGCTGGGGGAGAATCTTTGTCTGCATGTCTGGCATGACAACACGGCATTTGAACTTGGGAGATGCTGGCGGTAGTGGCTTGTTCCTTTTCCTTTTTTTCCTCGGGTGGTGGAAGGTGGTGCTGCTTTGGATGCACTTGATCGGAATCACATTCGCGCATGCAAGAGCCTCCTCCCCTGAGATTTCTCGCGTGAATCCCATCCTCGCTCATCATTGGGTTGACGTCAGTGTTCAGCACTTGCGGTAACAGAGCTGCAGAAGAAGGTATTACAGCAGGGCTGCTCAGAGCTGTGCCTCGAGCTCTCCGTAAAATTCGGTGCAATTGGGTGTTGCATGACATCCAATACGGTAGTCGCCTCGGGTGCCTGGAAAAGTGCAATACGGGGTTGTACAGTACGAGTACTTGAGTACGAGTACAGTATGGCGGAATTCAAATGACATTATTGTAGGTGTATTATTCGGCCCTAGGCCACAAAGATATCGTCGTACTGTATCGTAAAAAAAAATTCAAAACAAACAAGCAACCCTTCAAAAGTAAAAACTATGATATACCCAACACTACAGATTTTTGGGTTTGCCCACCCAGGCTCTCAACATTCGATCTTGGTCCCCATGCCGTGTGATACCACACCCCGGTTCAACCCCGCATTTTTTGTACATGACCTTCGTCTCCCGACAAACCACAATGCCTCTGCAGGTAGATGGAAAAGAAATTGTTGAAAAAAAAAGGGGGGGGGAGAGAGAGAGAGAGAGAGAGAGAAGTACTCGAGTAAGCATTGACACCTGGTATTCACCATTTATTTTGGAGGGTGGGGGGGGGGGTTACAACAAGCTCTCTATGCAAAAACCAAAGTTGCACCACCAAGAGCTGCCGCAAGCAACCCAGCACCGATCTTGAAAGCACCAACCTGAAACGCTGGAATAGTGAGACCGGCAGCGGCCCCCTTAGTCCCGGTTCCCGAGCTATTGGGCGAAGATGTGACAGTGCCGGTTCCTGCGGTTCCTCCGGCTTCAGAGAGGAGGGATTTGCAAGTGCCCGAGGCAGCGGCTGCGGTTTGAGTCTTTGCGCTTCCGCTAAAATCGCACGCATCCGAGGCTTTCTTTTGCTTGGTATAGTACTATATATCGTCCTCTTGTTAGTAGGCTCAAAGAGGTGGCGAGCAAAGATAATAAACATACGGCATTCATAGCCCAAGAAACACGTTCTAGAGGGCTGCACATGGAATATGCGCCATACACTCCTGTAGTGCCATTGGCGGTGATCCCAGTACAATCGGTCTTGGCCTCTCCACAAATGTAGTTGAACAAATCTCCTGTGTCCTTCTCTTGCACTTTTGTGGCAGCAACACAACTGAGAGCTGATACCATGCAAGAGCAAAGTTCCCTATTAGGGGTTGGTGGGAGCGCAGTCGAGGCCGACCAGTTAGAATCGGCTGTTGGGCAGGAACGGGCAGCAGTATTTGTTGGATTATAGCTATTGCTCTGGACACCGCTCGGAGAGACTTTTGCGAGCTCGGACTTGAGATTGTTGAAGTCAACCAACTTTGTAGCTGTCCCATCACCGCTGGTCTCAACCAGACCTTTGAAAGGGTTAGTAGAAGTGGTAATGTATAAAGGAGTTGTCGAGAAATACCATAATCATTTGCTTCCTGGTGGTACATGTAAACAATTCCTCCCGAAAAGACAGGTGTCATCTGAGGGCCATAGAGAGCCTCGACCTCAGTGAACACTCGAGGTTGAACCACCTATATTTTATATCAGTTTAACATAAGCAAAACATAGATCTCAGCTAGACATACATTGCACCCATACTCAGCGAAGAAAGAAGGGACGTTGTAGTTCTCGAATTCCTTGGTGCGTTGATCATAACCAGATTCCGTATATGAGCTTTTACCACACCAAGAGTAGATATTATAGCCCCAGAAGTCAACCGATTCACTACTACTGCCACAGTCAAAGTAATCCGCGAGCTCAGATCTAATCTTCGCATCGTCGTTGGTGGCATACCCAACGGGGATGGTGCGGTAGTTGCGTTTCTTGATGTAGGCTTTCATATCACGAACGGCCGCTTTAACAAAAGGCGATGCATTAGTATTGTTCGCCTCGTTGGAAACCTCGTTACCCGCAAAGAACCCGAGAACGTTGGAGTAGGGGGCTAGCGCATCGACAACTGAAGTATAACGCTCATAGAGTCTATCATCCCATTCAGGAGAATTACGGTTGATGGACAATGTCGGCTCAGACAAATCGCTGACCACATAAATTCCGGCATCGTTCAGCAATTTCATACATGTTGAATGATCCAAGGTGGTATTGATGGCATAAACACGTATGGTATTTGTGCCAAGCTCCTGGAGCAAAGGAATGTCTCTCTTGCATCCAGCCTCATCCGCCAGCGGATCCACAAAAGTGCCAGAAGTGCTGTTTGTGGGGCTGGCCTGGTACGCAACACCCTTCATAAAACTATATCCGATTGTTAGCCCTATCCACAAAGAGAAGAGAACAGCTTAGAACACCACTTACAATTGAGTGCCATTAGACTTAAAGAAAAATTCTAAATTAAAATCAGCATCAAAATCTTCACGACAAAAAGGCCAAATATAGAAGAATCCCAATACTCACTGCTTCCTTTGATAACAATAGGATCAAGATCTGCGGCAGCGACCGTGGAAAGGAGAGAACTGGCTATGAGAGCCGAAGCGAGCGATCGAGCCCACATAATTGTTTATATCCTGGCCCGCTAAATATTTCTTATTGGAAGGAAATTTGGTCTTGGCCCCTTGGAAGTCCTGTAAGTGGGAGGTTTGATTGAGACTCTAAGGGGTTGGCCAAGAAAAGTGACGACAGGGCCGCCAAGAAAGCGGGTGAGGGACGGGCGCCGGCGAAACGGCCTCGGCTCAGGGACGGTAAAAAAAGATGGGTGGTGAAGGAGTGATACCGGCAGAGGGAAGATTAACGAAAGTGTGATGCTTACGGTACTTTTGCTTGGGTGAGCGAGGGACACCAGCAGAGAGTGAAGAATTGAGAGTTAAGGGAAACGCGACAAATTCGCAGAGAGAGAGGAAACGGAAGGGAAGAGAAATGGATGAGAGAATTAAAAAACGGGGCTTGGCCCGGGGGGGGGGGGTTGAGAAGGGAGGTTGCAGCCCTTTGAAGGACTTAAGCGATGGCAAAACGTTGCCGAAGTATTGACGCGCAAGACGGTTCTCAATCGAGGGCTGCATCAGGGTACGGCGTTATGAGCCGCAGAAAATAACTACCTGAGTATGATATGATACGGTACTGGTTCGTTTGCCCGCCCGGACCATCTAGGCTTTCTAACTGGCCAAGTTTTACGAGAGCTCTAACACAGAAAATTCTACGGTATGCTTGTACGAGTAAGGCACCAGGGTGCTGACTGCTTGGTTTGGGATCCGTTTTCCCAGATGGGGATTGGCTCTTGGGATCCATAGAATCTGCGCAACGTACCGGTACTGCACTCGCACAAGCTTTATGATCCCCTTTCCATCCTTCCGGTGGCAAATTACCAGTAGCACGATGCAGCAGGTGCTCAAATACCCTACCGGTACTCGTACTGTAGAAGATAAATGTGCTGTAGGATGTTGGAATTCCCCTTCTCAGCTGCGCGAGGGGAAAAAAAAAGCATCGCAAACTCAACACTCGCTTGTGATAAAACAAGAGGAATAACTACTCGAGTAGTCTACTCGGATATAGTATTGTAGAATGATCCTTACGAAGTCTGTAGGCCGGTACAACAAACTTAGATCTACTAGTAGTACCTAGGCTCGCTACTTAAAAGTCAGTGGCCAATTTGGTTGGCTCATTGTTTCTTTGTTCTACACCGATAGTAATCGTAGTGTAATAATTGGTCTCCAATATACTCGTACATGGTCCCTTATAAAACCGCCTGAGAAAGGGTGACCGGAGAGGACTGCCGAGGTCTAAAGGCTAGCCCACTTTGAGAAAATCAACCAGTGGTTGCCGGTACTGTACGAGCACAGCATCATGACAAGCACTGTAAGGTTCACAATTGTTGAGTTCCGAGTGATACCGGTACTGCAACTACGGTACTTGAGTACACTAGATACCAGGTATAAGGTTCTATCGGGTACGCTTTTTGGTGGAGGTATTTTAGTTGCAGTATTCTGGCCGTTCAATTTGTGGATCAGTTGTGTTTCCCCGTGCCACCTTCCTGGATGACGTGTGGCAGTGTTGACGGTTTTTGCTTCTGGCCTAATTACGAGTAGACGCTATAAATAGGGAAAATGCAGATTTTTAATACAACCTCGGGTTGTAAGAATGATCTTCAGACTAGCAGGAGCCGTTCATTTCTGGTGCAACGGGCGGCAGGCTCACTCAGTTCTCTGCCATACGGTAAGGTGCTGCAGGACCGGCGTTGTATGTCATGAGATGGGCTAGATGGACTGGTCCAACAGCAGTGCTAGCATGGTAAAACGGTACGTGTATGGGCAGCGGGTACTGTATGGTACTGTACAGTGTTGTTATATCTAAACATGCGCTGCTGTGTCTATTGGGTTGGTGGGAATAGTCTACTGCGTTGGCGCGGCAATGGTGTTCTTTTTCATTAACTTACTGTACTAGTACTCGAGTATGATACCATTCTAAAGATACCGGTGCTTTGCGCTCCCTTCAACCTCTTAGGAATTGAAGCGTAGGAAAGAATATCACAAGGATTGTGCCATCGTACTTAGGTAAGTCGACAGACGAGAGATTCGGGTGGGGGGGGGCGCAAGTACGGCACATGCTGTATCGTACACTTGAGCATGGCTGGATGGAATACCGGCCGGCACTCGTTGGCTGAGACAATCGGACAGCAAGGTCAGGCTCTGCCGTTCGATGCATGATTAATACATTCTCCTGCGCCCTCTTTATTCGAGGCCATACGGAAGGTACTTATGCTGTACGATAACTGTGCCGAGTAAGTGTGGATGAGCTACGGCTCCATGCTGGGTTGAACTTTCTGCTGGTGGTCGCCACAACGGTTTCTCAGGAACGACGGGGTATGTGAAACAGCCAGCCACTCATCCTTGTAAAACGGTAAAATGGAAGAGTTGTCCAATTAAAACAGGGGATGATCTCCCAGTGTGCCCTCCGGGAAATGGAAAGCGCCGGGGACCTATACTGATCGGGAAACCTAAGAAAGAACGATTTGAAACTCGAACCATGTCCTGGAATTTTCGAAGCCCCGAATCCACACAATTGACGAGCGAAAAAACGATAGAATATGGTTGAGCAACTGCGGGAGGTTAGTTGTCTCTATCGTTCAGCGTGTTTCGATATCTCTGGGTGTACTCGAGTATGGGTTGTCATTCTACTCGTAGAATACTGTCCCTATTACATGGGTGGCTGTCGGTGACGAGACGCCCGGATGGGTTTTCAGTGCCCACCCGGGATGGCATGCATTGAGCAGCTTCTTCTCCCCTGCCTCCTGTCTCTCTCCTTTTTTTCCCTTTACTCTTCGCTTCCAGACCCATTTTCTCACCTTTCTTTTCCTGCCCACGCCCTTCGCTGCAAAGTAGTTTTAGTCTCCGCCGTTCGTTTTTACCCTCCTTCTTCCCTTGTAGCCCACCCCCCTTACTTAGTGCACTCCCTCGTTCTCTTCCCCGGCCCTTATCGCAGTGCGAACACCATCCTCTCCTCCCTCTTCTCCCTTTCCTGCCGCAATCTTTCCTCGCTCTTTTCCTCCCTCTCTCCCTCTTCCCCATTCCACTCGCTCAGAAGGTGTGTGTTGTTTGCCGAAGTTGCTTCGTGCAGATAGCTTTTTTGTTTTTCCTTTCCTTCGGTATCATTACTTAGAAGCTCCATTCTAAAGTGAGCTCGTTGGTTGTTGCACCAGCCATTCTCCTAAGTAAGTGAACTTTCTATCCTGCCTTCACCCCCTCAGAATGTGCGAGCCCCTGAAAAAGGTCAACAAACAAAACCCCTCGCCCGTCCACTCTAGGAATTAACCTCCTTCAATCTTTTCTTATCTACCTTGCATTACTTTTGCGGGTGTGCCCGTTTCATCCCCCATTGCTAATAATTCTCTTCTCCTTCAAGTTTAGCCAACGATCTTTACCAACCGTCCTTCGTTTTTTTTTTTTTTTTTTTTGCTTGCTGCTTGTCTTCCACAACCTTTGTTGTTTCCCTACAGCTTTGTTTTTGGAACACCATTCTCCCATTCTTATACAGCACTGGATTGTATTAGACAAATTGCACTCGCTCAACGATTTAACCCCCTGCTGCAGTAGGTTTGGCCAATCGGGTCGTTTGCTGCTTTGAATAGTTAATCTTTCACATACTGTTGTTGGAGGTAAGTCATCGGTTGCAATAGCAACTAGCTTTCGTGGCTTGATGCCTTTGTACACAAGCCAGACAACAAAACTTGTTGACATATTCGCTCCTTGAATTGTCAACATAGAAAGCCATCAGCACTAATTGGCACATAGGTTTTTTTGAGATCGTTCTTTGCCCATCATGTCGGGGCCTCAACAGCCGTACGACGACCATCAGGGTCACCAGTACGGAGGTCAAACCGATTCATACTACCAGGATGAATACCACAATCAAGGACATGGAGGCCATTACGACCAGGCCGGGCAAGGCCAGCATTACGATTATAATCAGGGCGAAGGCTATTATGACGAACAGTATGTCGTCTCAGTTTTCAATGATCTGCTTTATCAGCTAACATGTGGTAGGGAATACTACAATGCTGGACAACAAGGGGGATATGGACAAGATGCTGGATACTACGGAGACGGGCGGGGTGGTAGATTTCTCCCTGATTCTTTATCTAAATGTAGCACTGACATGTCTTCAAGGATATGAAGATGATTACTACGGAGACCAGTACTATGACCAGAACACTCCTGCTGCCGGCCAGCAGCCCCAACAAGGGTATGACCGCAAGGGAAAACGCCGAGGTCACGATTCAGAGGAGGACTCTGAGACCTTTAGCGACTTCACTATGAGATCTGACATGGCCAGGGCTGCGGATATGGATTACTACGGACGCGGAGATGAACGGTACAACAGTTATGATAACGGACCAGACGGTCGACGCGGATATCGCCCACCCTCCTCTCAAGTATCCTATGGCGGCGGTAGATCATCCGGTGCCTCTACCCCTGTTTACGGCGTTGATTACTCTAATAACCTACCCGCCGGCCAGCGTTCAAAGGAACCATACCCAGCGTGGACGACCGAGAATCAAATACCTATTTCCAAAGAGGAGATTGAAGATATCTTCCTTGACCTTACCAACAAATTTGGGTTTCAGCGCGATAGCATGCGCAATATCTATGACCATTTTATGACCCTCCTCGACTCTAGGGCATCCCGCATGACTCCGAACCAAGCGCTACTTTCGTTGCATGCTGACTACATCGGTGGTGAAAATGCCAATTTCAGGAAATGGTACTTTGCGGCTCATCTTGATTTGGATGATGCTGTTGGATTTGCCAATATGAAACTGGGAAAAACAAGTCGCCGTGCTATGAAGGCTAGGGCGGCTGCCAAAAAGAACAAACCCCAAGGCGAAAACGAGGAGCAGACGCTGGCTCAAATGGAGGGAGATAACAGCTTGGAAGCTGCCGAGTATCGATGGAAGACCAAGATGAACCGGATGTCTCAGCATGATCGGGCACGGCAGATTGGTCTTTTCCTACTCTGCTGGGGTGAAGCAAATCAGGTCCGTCTTATGCCAGAAGCCTTGTGCTTTATCTTCAAGTGTGCGGATGATTACCTCCACTCCCCCGAGTGTCAGGCCAAGGTCGAGCCAGTTGAGGAGGGTACCTACCTTAAGGACATCATTACTCCGTTATATCAGTACTGTCGCGATCAGGGGTACGAGATTGTTGATGGCAAGTTCGTCCGACGAGAACGGGACCACAGTCAGCTTATCGGTTATGATGACTGCAATCAATTGTTTTGGTACCCTGAGGGCATTGAAAGGATCGTCATGACTGACAAGTCTCGCCTTGTTGATGTTCCTGGTCCACAGCGGTATTTGAAACTCAAGGAGGTTGAATGGAAAAAGGTGTTCTTCAAGACGTATAAAGAAACGCGTTCATGGTTTCATATGGCTACCAACTTCAATCGTGTCTGGATCATCCATATTGGCGCCTTTTGGTTTTACACTGCGTTCAATTCCCCTACGCTTTACACTAAGGAGTATCACCAACAACTAAATGAGAAACCTCATGCGGCCGCTCGGTGGTCCGCGGTCGCTCTCGGCGGCGCTGTTTGTACATTCCTCATGATTGTTGCTACCTGTGCTGAATGGGCTTTTGTTCCTCGTCAATGGGCGGGAGCTCAACATCTCACCAAACGCCTCTTATTTATCCTATTCATCTTTGTTCTGAACGTTGCACCTAGTGTTTACGTCTTCATGATTGATGGAAACAATGGTGGAAAAATCGCAAGGATCCTCGGAATTGTGCAATTCTTCATTGCTTTGGCTACTTTCTTCTTCTTTTCTGTGATGCCTCTCGGTGGGTTGTTTGGCAGCTACTTGACTAAAAACTCGCGTCGCTATGTTGCCAGTCAAACATTCACCGCCAGCTATCCCCGTTTACGTGGCAATGATATGTGGATGTCCTACGGAATATGGGTCTTGATCTTTGCAACTAAGCTGATCGAGTCGTACTTTTTCTTGACTCTCTCTTTTAGAGATCCTATCCGCGTGTTATCAGTCATGAAGATCGACAATTGCTTGGGGGAGAAGCTTATTGGGACTGGTGATGCTGCGAAGATGTTTTGTCGACGCCAACCTCAGATCCTACTTGGTATTATGTATATCACTGATCTGACTTTATTCTTCTTGGATACATATCTTTGGTATATTGTCTGGAATACTGTTTTCTCCGTTGCTAGATCCTTCTATCTCGGTGTGTCTATCTGGACACCATGGCGAAACATCTTTTCCCGACTCCCCAAGCGTATCTATTCCAAGGTCTTGGCTACTACCGACATGGAGATTAAGTATAAACCAAAGGTCCTGATCTCTCAGATTTGGAACGCTATTGTTATTTCTATGTATCGCGAGCATCTTCTTGCGATTGACCATGTCCAGAAGTTGTTGTATCATCAGGTATTTTCCCTTTTGCGTATCCTTGGTTTCTATTGCTGACTTTCACAGGTACCATCGGAACAAGAGGGCAAACGTACCTTGCGAGCCCCTACATTTTTCGTCTCCCAAGAGGACCATTCCTTCAAGACAGAGTTTTTCCCTAGCGGTAGTGAGGCTGAGCGACGTATCTCTTTCTTTGCGCAATCGTTATCTACGCCAATTCCTGAACCACTGCCTGTTGACAACATGCCTACCTTTACTGTCCTTATTCCTCATTACAGTGAAAAGATTCTTCTTTCGCTCCGTGAGATTATCCGTGAAGATGATCCTTATTCCCGTGTTACGCTTCTGGAGTACCTTAAGCAGCTTCATCCTCACGAATGGGACTGCTTCGTTAAGGATACAAAAATTCTGGCTGATGAGACCTCCCAATTCAATGGTGAAGCCGAAAAGACCGAAAAGGAAAAGGAAGTGTCCAATAGCAAAGTAGATGATCTCCCATTCTACTGCATCGGTTTCAAGTCAGCTGCACCTGAGTACACTCTTCGAACTCGTATTTGGGCCTCACTTCGTTTCCAAACGTTATATCGCACAATATCAGGTTTCATGAATTACAGCCGCGCTATCAAGCTTCTCTACCGCGTCGAAAACCCTGAGGTTGTTCAGATGTTTGGTGGTAATACCGATAAACTGGAGAGAGAGCTCGAACGTATGGCAAGAAGAAAGTTCAAGATTTGTGTTTCGATGCAGCGCTACGCCAAGTTCAAGAAAGAGGAGATGGAAAATACAGAATTTCTCCTTCGCGCCTATCCTGATCTACAAATCGCTTATCTTGACGAGGAGCCACCACTAGTTGAGGGAGGAGAACCCAGATTGTACTCTGCTCTTATCGATGGCCATTCAGAACTCATGGAAAATGGAATGCGTCGTCCAAAGTTCCGTGTCCAGCTATCTGGAAATCCTATCCTCGGCGACGGAAAGTCTGATAACCAAAACCATGCTATTATTTTCTACCGCGGTGAATATATTCAACTTGTTGATGCCAATCAGGACAATTATCTTGAAGAATGTCTGAAGATCCGAAGCGTCCTTGCTGAGTTTGAGGAAATGACTGTTGAGAACGTCTCACCTTACACCCCCGGTCTCCCCCCTACCAAGTTCGATCCTGTCGCTATTCTTGGAGCACGTGAATATATCTTCTCTGAGAACATTGGTATCTTGGGTGACGTCGCTGCCGGTAAGGAACAGACTTTTGGTACCCTTTTCGCCCGTACTTTGGCGCAGATTGGTGGAAAATTGCATTACGGACATCCCGATTTCTTGAACGGTATCTTTATGACAACACGTGGTGGTGTGTCCAAGGCCCAGAAGGGATTGCATCTCAACGAGGACATTTACGCTGGAATGAACGCACTTTTGCGTGGTGGTCGCATTAAGCATTGCGAATATTACCAATGTGGTAAAGGACGTGATTTGGGGTTTGGATCTATTCTTAACTTTACTACAAAGATTGGAACTGGTATGGGAGAACAGATGCTTTCGCGTGAATACTACTACCTCGGCACTCAGCTTCCTCTGGATCGTTTCTTGTCCTTCTACTATGCGCATCCTGGTTTTCACATCAACAATTTGTTCATTATGTTGTCGGTTCAACTCTTCATGTTTGTCATGATCCATCTTGGTGCTCTCAAAGACCAGGTTGTTGTGTGCGACTACAATCCCAACAAACCAATTACGGATGAACTGAAGCCTATTGGATGCCGCAACATTGAACCGATCATGGACTGGGTTGTGCGTTGCAGCTTGTCAATCGTTATCGTGTTCTTCATTTCTTTTGTCCCTCTTGTTGTCCAGGAACTCACTGAGCGTGGATTCTGGCGTGCGGCTACTCGTCTTGGAAGACATTTCTGCTCATGTTCACCTGCCTTTGAGGTGTTTGTGTGCCAGATTTATGCTAACTCCTTACTTAATGATCTCGCCTTTGGTGGTGCTCGCTATATCGGTACGGGTCGTGGTTTCGCGACCGCTCGAATTCCTTTTGGTATCTTGTACTCACGTTTTGCCGGACCTTCAATCTACCTCGGCGCCAGATCTTTGATGATGGTGCTTTTCGCTACTTTAACCATATGGGGTATTCACCTTCTCTATTTCTGGGCCTCCTTACTTGCTCTTTGCACCTCGCCCTTCATCTTTAACCCTCACCAATTTGCTTGGGACGACTTCTTCATTGATTATCGTGACTATTTAAGATGGCTTTCCCGTGGAAACTCGCGCGCCAATCATCAATCATGGATTTCTTTCTGCCGTCTTTCTAGAACTCGTATCACTGGTTACAAGCGCAAGATCCTCGGAGATCCATCCGAGAAACTTTCTGGAGACATGGCTCGTGCAAAGTTCACAAACATCGTCTTTAACGAGATTGTTGGGCCATTCCTTGTCGCCATTCTCTGTATTATTCCCTACTTGTTCATCAACGCACAGACCGGTGTAAGACAGGATAATCCCGGAAACGAGGATTTGCCCGAGCCCAAGCCAACTGGAGCCCTGATGCGTCTTGCCGTTGTGGCATTTGCTCCTATTGCTGTCAATGCTGGTATTCTTGCAGGCTTGTTCGGAATGGCATGTTGTATGGGTCCTGTTTTTAGCATGTGTTGCAAAAAGTTTGGTGGTGGTAAGTTATTTTCCTTTCGACGTATTATTGCTTTAGCTGACCAAGCTAGTTCTTGCCGCCATCGCCCACGGCTTAGCTGTTATTATGCTCTTCGCGTTCTTCGAAGTCATGATGTTCCTCGAGGGATTCAGCTTCACCAAGACATTGTCAGGAATGATTGCGATGGTTGCCATTCAACGATGGTTTTATAAGCTTATCATCTCTCTTGCTCTCACTAGAGAGTTCAAGACTGACCAGAGCAATTTGGCTTTCTGGAACGGAAAGTGGTATGGTCTTGGTAAGTTTTTTTCGTCGGTAAAACTCTAGCGATCGAGTTGTCAACTAACCGACCTACTTATAGGACTTCATGCTATCTCACAGCCCGGTCGTGAGTTGCTGTGTAAGATCACGGAACTCGGAATGTTCTCGGCAGATTTCATCCTTGGACACGTTATATTGTTCTTTCAATTACCTGTTATTCTGTTTCCATATGCGGACCGAATTCACTCTACTATGTTGTTCTGGCTACGTCCATCCCGCCAAATTAGGCCCCCGATCTACTCCTCCAAGCAATCAAAGCTCCGAAAGAAGAGAGTCATCCGGTTTACTGTCGTTTACTTTCTCATGCTTGTCGTCTTCCTTGCACTAGTTGTTGGACCAGTTGTGGCTAGTATGTTGCCCCCCCAAATATAGTATTCCGAACAGATCACTAACAGCTTCAACAGAGAACATACTCATTGACGCTACGAAGTCGGTCAACATTATGCCTGACATGGGGCTCCAGCAACCTCACGACACTTACTACAATAATACCGACACCGCCTACTGGGAAGCTAACCCTGATCTGGTTGATGATGGTGGTAAGGAGTTTAGGGAGGGTGCCCACCAGAATAAGAATGCGAATAGCAAGTTCAAGCTGAGGTTTTAAGTCCATATCCGGAGGTTGTTGTTTTCCTTTTTCGGGGTTTTTCTTTTTCTTTCATTGTTCCGGGCGGCGAATAAATACGGATACTCTTGAGCGCAGGTCTTGTGTATAAAGGGGCGAACAACTGGTTACGAGGTGTCGTTGTAATGTTAGTGATTAAGCGGGCCTGTTCAATGAACAGGCAGCGGGTGGGCGCTGGATAGAGGTGATAAAAAATCAGTTTTGTCCTTCGGGGTTTTTTTTTTTTTGCATATTAGTCACTGTATTATTTTCTCTTTTATTTTTGTATCCTTAGGTAAATAAGGAGAGCTAGTAAGGTATTACGAATTTTTTTTCTCATCCTACATAAATAAGCATTTTTTCTCGTATCATATTCGATGGATCGGCATTCTTGTTCCAAACTGGATCCACTTGGTGGAAAATGCATAGTCTACCAGCGCTACAACATATTTTGTTTCCCCGCTGCTGTGCGATGCGGCACTGGTCGGCACGATTTTAAGTTGGGCTGTCCTGCGATTTGGGCTTGTTACCATGCCAGTAATTTGTAGCAGATGTTGGGCACGGATATCCGTTGAGTCGAGTCTAACCGATTTTGATGAGAGGTTGAACTAGTGGTATAGTACGTTGGATAATGGTACAGTATAGTATTTTGTACGATAGCAATCCCACAACTAAATTAACTTGACAGTTAAAGTAATGTACTGTACTCCAAGTAGTCAGTACCCAACCAGATATCTCCCCACCAGGTCAAGTATGTTGGAAAGCCGAAGATGTGACCAGCTAGCTAAATAGATGAATAAATACAAAGCCCCTTCCCCAACTGCCACTAGCAAGCTCCATGAAAAGAAATCTAAGGGTTTTCATCTCATTTCATTTCCTTCATTTTTTTCAGTTTCCTCCTTCTGAAGTCGCAACCATTTATTCATGAAACAAAATTGATTCAATTGCCAGCGTAGCATTCGTATCGTGCATGTGTCATTTACTTATTCGCCTGTCCCTCCTTCCTTTGGCACAAACAACTCGGGCGACATATTTATTTTCGTCAATTTCGCGATGCAGCCTCTTAGCTGCAGGAGTGTGGCCACGCCTTCCAGGATGCGCATATGTGTGAACCCTATGACCTATTTATTGTCGTCCATTGTTGATTAGTTCTTGATTGGGAGGTAGCAGACGGTGGATGATTGGGGGGAGGGGGGTGAAGCATACTTTGATGAACTCCAGCTTCGAATGTTCACTGAGAGCATCTACCGTCTTCGTGACTCTGAACATAGTGCTGATGATATCGATGGCGGAATAGCCCTTCCCCCAAAGCTCCTCTAGCTTCTCCAGCGCTGCATCAATCTTGCCGGTGTAACAAGCCTTGATCAAGGCCTGCACCGCAATCGGGTGCGGCGAGTCAACAACCTTGAAGACGTTGTCCGCACTGACGAAGCCAAAACCCGCGACCGTGCTCTGCAGGTTGTTAATGGCCTGACGCATATCCCCCTCGGCGGAGAAAATTAGCGCGGCGAGGCCCTCCTCCGAGTGCTCCACCTTCTCCGCCAGGCAGATCTCGAGTAGGCGGTGGAGGACCTGCGCATCTGTGAGGCGGGAGTAACGGAGGATGGCGCAGCGGGATTGCAACGGCTCGATGATTTTGTTGCTCTGGTTGCAGGCAAACGCGAAGCGGGTGGTGGATGAGTATATTTCCATCGTGCGGCGGAGGGCCTGCTGGGCCCCCGCCGTCATGCTGTCGGCTTCATCGAGAATCACAACCTTCTGTCTTCCGGGTGGGAGCGTGACCTTCTTCTGCGCGAATCCCTTGATGCGATTCCGGACCACGTCGATCCCGCGCTCGTCCGAAGCGTTGAGTTCTAGCACTGCTTCTTTGTACGCATCTCCTAGGAGGGCTCTGGCGAGGCATAGGACCGAGGTTGTTTTACTACGCGAAATAGGATCAACTTTGTGTTATCTTGCGGAGAAGTGAAAGGTAGTACCCAATCCCTGGCATCCCAGAAATGATCAAATGTGGCATGTTCCCGTCCTTCCCGATAATCTTCAATCGCTCTACTGTCTCGCTGTTGCCGACTATATCTTCTAGGAAGATCGGACGGTACTTTTCGACCCTAGATGAATGCGCAATTAATCAATTAACCATCCACCCTTTCAATCAGAGAATGGGGGAAGTTCACGAACCATGGTAACTCATAAGCAGGTGTTCCGGAAGTATTTGTAGCAACCGTCGCAGCGATTCCCCTGCCCAGTGCAGCCTTTGATGATTCTCCGCTCATAATTGTCTCTTTGTGGAGGGGGTGGGGTTGCGAAAGTTTTAGTGTGATTAAAACGTAGGGTAGGTGAGGTGAGGTGAGGGAGCGAGGGGAGACGCGTTGTTCGTTGGCACTTTAGAAGCTCTTTGGGGTCAGCGCGGTTGCTGCCACTTGCTGGGTGAGCATGGCATTTTACGCGCTTCTCGATCACTTTGACAGAAAAAAAAACAGATAAAAGAAAAACCAAGCAAAAGTACTGGGACATTGAGCTGGCGAAGGATACGTTTTGATTTTTCCGTAGAAAAGATACAGTACTTTGCGGCATTTCATAGAACAAGCCCCTGACTATCAACACTCACATGAGGGTGACAAATGCTGCTCATATTGGTTCTACAGTATTTTGGGGCGGGTTTTAAGTTATTAACGCTGTTCATTCATTCCTAGTGCGAAATACCAAACTGCTCACGACTACTGGCGCTTGGATCGCACATAAGAAATCCGTCGACAGCCCTTTCCAGGGACTGCTCATAGACAGAACATCTTCACAGTAAAATCAACCGCCCGCTAATGGGCCCAAAATTTTGATATTCCAACCTTAATTTTTATATCACAAGAAGGACTGAAAACAACTACAAAAATGTATAAAACTCTAACCTCAAGACCCTCATCACCCATCCAGCAAACGCACAAAATAAAGGGGAACGTATTATTCTCAGACACATCCCATAATATCCCCGACAACGCCCTCCAGCATCCTAAAGGAGTAATGTTCCGCAACACTCTTATACACATGTAACCTCTTAACAAGCACCTCCCTCTCAGCCGTAAGCACCCAGGGCCCCGAACACGAGCAATGCTCCATAAACTCATTGACCTTTAAAGTTTGACACTTCCCACACTTGAGGTCCTGGACATTATACGCCGTGACAAACTGGTGCAACTGCGATATCATCTTCTCCTCGAACGCCAAGCGGTCGAACTCGCCGCCGCAAAAATCAAACTTGCACTTCCAGGCACGCCCGCGGAGTTGGCCGTCGGCCGTGACTTCCGGCATCAGGTCCTCATCCTTGCACAAGTCCATGTCGCGTGGGAGGGCACAGTTCTTGCAGATCACTTGGGAGAATTTGAGCGTTTCACTGGGGTTCTCGAATGTACCCTCTTTGCTAAACTCTTTGATGTCGAGCAACGCCAGGAGTTCCTTGCGGAGGATGCGTGCTTCTGTGTTGATTTCTTTGGCAAGGCCGAAGACCGCTGTTAGGGAGCGGACGAGCTGCAGGACGGGGTTCTTCATATCCCGGTAGGCGCCTGGTAAGGAGGGGAATTCAAAGTCGACGTCGATTTCCGGGTGGATCATAGATTCTTGCTGGCGGCGGATGAGCTGACCGATTTGCTTACGGAGGGGCTTCTTGAATTCGTTGCCGAGGATGACCTTGTCGCCCGAATCCTCAGACATTTTGAAGAAAATCTGGGTAGGCCATGGCGTTGAAGCATTGGGTCCTGACGCGGACGGGTTCTTCTGAGCGTGAATGGCCTCTACAAACTCAACTACCCAATCATGGAAGATTGTCTGCAAAGTTTGTGGAAGGAACTTCGCAAATTGCCAATGCATGATAATGTTCAACTCCTGATTCTCCGCTTCGACGATCTTCTCACAAGCCTTTCCCCCATGGTTCATCTCATCATACCAGACAAGATAGTCCCAATACTCATTAATCTTCAAATCGAGAAAGTTGAACAACGGTTTTGCCCGGATAGCTTTGATAATGTACTCGCTATAAGCATAAGCATTCCCAACATCCGTCTTAGTAGTCTGAACAAGAAGTTTGTTGACATTCGCAAACACAATATGGGACCCAACTCTCCGGAAATCAGTCAGAAGTTGCAGGAAAGCCTTCTTAGACATGGTCTGGACGTAGTAGTGTAATGCCCGGTCGTAAAGGAATGAATCCGGGCTCTCGACCCAGCGAACCAAGTGCTCAACCATAATTTCCGCCACCGGCTGCCCTCGAGTAGCTAGAGCAGACCAGGCCTTGACCATCTCCCGTAAAACTGCCACCCCAGCTGTAGTGAACGCGTTGTTTGCGAAAATAATATTAGTCCCATCAGTTGGATCATCACCTTGAGGTGCTGCCGGGTTCATAGCAACAGAATCGCTCCCCTCCAGCTCATTTATTAAAGAGGACGTAAGGATTGTGTTGATAGCCAAATTCCGGACCTCGATCTCAATGCAGACGGACGAATACGACCCAGGGTTATTGATAGCAGGCATATCGACTGTTTCCATAGACCCTAAGATATCATCCTTCTCATATCCTCCGTGGTCTGGCTTGGGTGAGGGTGACCACCACAGCACAACATTATTTTTTTGTAGCCGTCGTGCATAGTCAATGTCAATCAGGAAAGTTGGATCATCCCTCTCCAGGTTACATAGCGGGATCCTTCCATAACGCGCTAGCTCTACCAAGTGCAGTATCCACGCCCCCAAAGCCAGGTAATGTGTTACAATCCTCTTAGCCACGAATGTCTGCCAACCAAGAGGCAGGCTATTGTCCGCGGGATCTGAGCGTAAGGTGAGGATAGGGAACTCGCTCAAGATAGACACAGCATCCACCAGAGTCCTTTGTTGTGGGGATTGAATAACAAGCGTAGTTGGCTTCGACTCCTCATTCCGGATCCCCTTCAATAGATCAGTCAACTCCTTCTCTAGCTTCTTTTTCGTATTGACATAAGTTGTTTGAAAGTGTAGTGTGGCTGGGTACTCGATCATGCTATCTCCGGGACCGTTAGCCGTTTCCATCCTTCGGGTGAATTGCTCAGCGTATATCTTGTCCATGTTCGGGAGGCCCTGGGCTTCCCGTGTCGCATTATAAACTACAACATGCGCTTCTCCTCCGGGTGGGAAGAGGCCAAAGACCTGGCGGTCACCCGCAACCACATGATACAAAAACAGGTAGTCCATACCGCCGATCTGGAGGTAAGGTCTCTTCGCCTCTTTCGATTTCAATGAAGACAAGTCGAACCCATGGTCAAGGCCCTTCCCAAGCACACCCCGCTGGGACTCATCGAAGGTGCAACTATTACCTAATTCGAGCAGAGCACGAATACTCATAGGAACTTGAGTTTCGTACACACCTTCGACGCTAGCGTGCGAGAAGATAATCGAGAAAGCCTTCTGCTCAGATATGTATGTATCCTCGGGCACCACCAACTTGAAGAGATTCCCCGAAGGATGGCCATTTGGAAGAGTATGGTTAACCCTTTCTACTATGCACCCTTTAACAGTAACATCCGGAAGCTCCTCACTCTTAAAATTGATAAATATTTGACGTGGAACCTTAATCTTCAAGGTGATAATCTTCCTACCGACTAATATGAAAGCCCTAACTTCACCAGGCATATCCGTCGGCCGAAGTTGCAAAATCTCCCAGGTATTCGAAAGCATGAACTCCGTCTGATTCCTGAAGAAGCCACCAATAGAGTCCGCCTGAAGAGAGCTCCTGTCCCCGAACAATTGCCTCCGCCTAGTCCGAGCGTGTTTTTGAATTTTCCACTTTTTCTTCTGGTACTGCAACCACCCTTTGTAATCCTCTGTCATCGGTGGCATCACAGCGGGCAGGCTAGCAAACGGATCGCCCCCGACCGGAGCAGGTGTATCAGGCGCCTTCCTCTTCCCAAGACGCTTCGCAGTTGCAAGCATAGGCCGGTTTAAAGGCATCGTAGTAGTGCCGCCAAAGTCTTCCATATCGTCCAAGTGCATAGACACTCCAGGAGGGACAATCTCCAACTCGGTCCGTTTCTGAAACATATCCGTCATCTTCTTCTGCTTAAACCTGTCATCCTCGATGTCGATACGTCTCTGCAGCCAGTCCGGATGTGGCACCCTAGGTACTGGGTTGTCAACTTTCTGGAGAGCAGCAGGGATGGTGATAAGCTTCTGAATGACAGATCCCAGACGCTCAAGGTAGTAGTTCCAATCAATGATACCCCGAGGATCAAAATCGCTCGGTTCCTCATGCAGCCATTTTCGCAAGAAGTGGCGTTTGACCGATTCCTCCGCAGAAAATATAGCAACTGGGAGTGCTCTCTCGGTAACAGGTGCGTTTCGAGGTTTTGCGGACACAATGTATTTGCAGTTGAGACCTTTGTCCTTCACCATTTGCTCGCCCAAGAACTCTGCCAGCCGCTTCGCGGTGGTAATAGACGTCGACTTCTGAGAACCATACTCCGCCAATGTCTTTGACATACTTCTGTTTTCACAAATCAAGTCAATGAGCTCCTCATCGGCGAGCGTTCTACCACGTAAATGCAGAACATCAAGCCAACGATTGGCAGTCTTAGCTACGGCGCCATAACACTCCTCTAAACTCGTTCCCTCCAAGAAGAATTTAAAAATTTGAGACTGGAATATCTTGATTAGTTTTAGTTCGCCGCGGCGCTTGACTTCGAACCCCTTCAGTTCCGCCAAACTCCCATCATGATTGAACACAGCATAACGTTTCTTTAAATTCTTATCCTCCTCTTTGGACGTAGGCAGGATCATAGCCCTATAAGGCCCATCGACCTCAAAGAAGATAGTGTTTTCGCTATGGGTCTTATATCTGTGGGTGGCGGGATCCACAAGTTCTGAATACTGGTGATTGGTAAACTTTGCATGGACCAGATGGTTCAACATCACGCAAGGGTAAGATATCGGCAGCTTCTTCCCACCCTCGAGTGTGAACGCAAAGTTCTCCGGAAATGTCCCTGGGAGAATACACCAAATACCGTCGGTATCCAGCTCTAATGGTCTCCCGATCCGCTCGACGATTTCTTTAGCCAATTGAATTATGTGAGCACCAGTAAGACAAGTGACACCAGCCATCTCCATAGAATACCAGCGAGATCCTTTTCTCATGACGTATCCGTAGAAGGAATTAAGAATGACTTTGTGAGCAAGCTGCATAGAGTCGAACAAGACAGTCATCTTATTCGCTTCATCGATCTCTGCAGCGGTGGCACCGGAGGCCTTAAGGTCATCTGCTTTACGCTTCCATGCTTTTTGCTTCCCCTTGAAGTCGTAGCGACGATCACGGAAGTTCTTGACAGTATCGACGTAGAATGGATTCTCGCGCTGACAGATAATGGCTTCTTTCTCAATTGTTTTGGTTTCATGAATCTTATGGTAGACCTTCTTGCTATAGTCTGCAAGACGCTTCTTGATTGCCGAGGCTTGCTCCTCGCTTGTCAGATCATCCCATGTTCTTTGGGGTGATTTCGGATGCTTAGGAGGAAATTTCTCGTTCTCTAGTGAATACCTAATCATATTGTACTCGTCTCTCTTGGCGGGGAGATATTCTCCTCTCCAAGCCCATGGTAGCCGCCGGTCACAGGTTTTTCCAGGTCGGTTGAAGTCACAGGCAGCACAGTCCGATTCTGATATCATGGAATCTGGTTGAAGGCGATTGGTGGTCATAATGTTCGGGTACATAGAAGCAACGTCCAAATGGTATATCGATGGTCGCTCATTTCGTGCAGGGAGGTCCCTCAATTGCTGAAGTTTAGACCTGATTTGTTCCTTGACCTATCCACTTCATAAGCATAAATTCCAACCATCAGAGGCAACCATACAAACCTCATCATAATTCGTCACATCCTCCATCTTCTTCCCCTCGACAACAATACTAAATTGTAAAGCAGAGTCAAGGTCCTCAATGAGCTACTGCCAAATCAGACAGCCATCCAGAAACAAAAATAGAGCCAAAGGCCACCCACTTTATCAATGGCCCCCGTATCAATGACGAAATTGGCCGGGATATCACTTCGGAACACTCCCGCTTCGATAGACTCGACGTGACCACCGACGTATGTCTCCGACCCTAGCAAATGACCATCAAAGAATGCCTCCTCAACCTGCTTATGCTTGTTCGGCAAGACAATCTCCTTCCGATATGCTTGGACCTGTTCAAGTAAGCGAGTGATACCTTATGACCGCATGGAACACCCACCATAAGCAACATCTCACAAAGGGTTCCCGTTCCTTTCCGTAGCACATCATCCGGGCCTAACGGGATAATCGTACACAGGGCAAAGACGAAGGGGTGTACGTATTTCATATATAGATAGTATGTAGCCACGGCGTCGGAAACCGAGTACTCTGCCAGGACTTGCGGCTTCTCCATGGCATACCTTGGAACACAAAATCAGTAGATCCAGGGTAGGAGGAAGATAAGCAGTAAACGAACCTTGTCATAAGCTCGGGGTCCAATTCATCGGGGTCGTATCCGAGCTTTGCTGTAGTGACCGCCTTCAAGCCTTGACTCCCCTGGGGCAGATAACTGTCACGTTTCACCCAGGCGAAGGCATCCATGTGGGCAGAATAGTTGCTATAATAGACGTCTTCAGAGTTTTTCCGGAAGCCAATCTCACGGTACACGTCTATGCCCAATTGGGAGGCTCTGGCTTCTACAAATGGCCAATCGAAGAAGTCACCGTTGTACGTTACCATTACCGTGGGTTTTGCCTCTTTGATGTGGTCGAAGAATCGCTCAAGCACGGCTTTCTCGTCTGGTTCGTTGAAGACCATGAAATGTCCTTCATACTCCGGTCGAGGAGTGTATTCGAAATCCTCAATGTCTTGGGAAACAATCTCTCTGTTAGTGATGAGAAACCCCTATAAGCGCATACTTAGCTTCTATGTTCCATTCCTCAATTCTCAACATTAGTAAACTCACTGATCCCTCAATCATATACGATATCATCATAATCTGATCAATTGAAGCGTCAGGAAACTTTAATGGTAACTTTGTAGTTTCAATATCCCACGCCAGCACGACCGGCTCGGCCTGTTTCAGTCGATCCTCAATGCAAGTAAGCGATACAATGCCATGTTTGGCCTCAACAGTATACCACTTTCCAATACGGATCTCTATGTACTACTTATCAGCAACCATTGATTGAATCGCAAAGATATCACCATGACATTACCTTGATCGATAGCCACCCGCACATGATATGGCACATCATACTCTCGTATATCAATTATAAAATCGCAAGCTTCAACCATATTCGTAGACCTTCGTAGGTCATTACCTTCATCAATGAAGTCAAAACCGGCGCTAGCACTATCCCAAAATCAGCTCTCTCGCCTCCGAGAAAACCCCAACCCCTAATATATCATATATACCTAGCAACTTCGGCATAAGCGTCCATAGCATTAACATTCTTCCTATTCTTCTCCGCAATCGGCATAAGCACTTTCCGGGCCGCCAGTAAATTCGTGACGTTTACAAACTCCAGCTTAATGAAGGTTCTCCGGTATCCTAGCAAATGATTCGGCTGTCATTCATATCGTCAGCTCTGACTATCCTTCCCCCGAGCATTGCCGTCACCACCTACCATCCGTAAATCTTCCTTTGTTAACCTCGAAGTCTTCTTGATTATGCCCTCAAACTTTCTTCTCAACCACTCCTCTACCTCCGGCTCATTACCACGCTACCATCCCCGCACTCATCAGCATTCACATCCCATGCAATGCCACATGGGAATATCCCAAACCTTAGTAGCAATTAAAAAATACGGATCATACAAGACAGTCGCTTTGAACGACCCCCCATAATCATCCAGAAAGTAATAGTCCACGCCCGCCTTTCCACCGGTAACTTGGCCGTCTTCCAGAATAGTCTACGAACCCCCCCAAACAAAAAAACCCACATTAGCAAACCGCTTCCCCCTCCCGCCTTCAATTGATTCCACATAGTATTTTATTTTATTTTTTATAAACTCACAGACTTCATGTTGACCAGCCAACCAACTTTCTTAGGCCCAGCCTCAAACCTTGCGAAGCCCATCCGCTCATCAATGTCATTCGCAAGTCTCAAGGACTCAAACTTCTCCTCTCCGGAGGTGCCGTCGGTAGCTAGTAATGAGTTCGCGGTAATGGTCCTTGTCTTCTGGAATCGTCCTCCACCACTATTGCCACCTCTGCGGTAGCCTCCACGCTTGAAGCGTGTGCTGCTGCTGCCGCCCCGTGAGGAGTACATTGTTGAAATCGATACTGTGTGTCGTTGTAAGTAGGTATTAAAGAGTGTATGGTTTTGTGCAGTATGGTGTACAACACTAAAGGAGAGCAGGTGAAAGGATGAAAGTATGTGTGATAAAACTAGATTAAGTATAATTACCAGAATAGAGAAAATCCGAAGGTACTCAGGGTTGTCAGAAGAATTTATCCTTCGTTAAGTTTTTCCCCCTCAAGCATGGGCAGATAAAGTCAACACAACGAACAACGCGCACCTAACGCGTTCGAAATTTTAATTTAATTCTAAGCAAACCTGAAGGATCCCAACTCGGTTAGTTTGCTTATGTAACCACTGAGAGGCTGAACTCAGTATGGTATAGTAACCTTAAATCCCTGGTGGGGAATGATATCTCAGCCCGATAAACTAGCCCCACCATCCTCACTCACCCATCCATCCCAATCCCACTACCCAACCCCCAAACAGGCAACCAAAACCAACAAAAAATGGCGGAAGATGCCCGAGATCTCTCCACAACCTCCAACACAAACCCAATCGTAACCGCCAGGACCCGCAACACCACCCTCGACCCAGCAAATCCCACAGATCCAAAGGTCACACCAAACGACTACGCTGCAACCCAGCAAGCTACCCTCTCGGAAGCCGTCAAAACCATCCACACGGAAGACTTCAAGAAAGTGCATTTACAGCCATGCGTTCGGAACGCCTTTCTATACGGGATCATCGCCGGTATTGCGTTCGGGGGTTTGAAGCTTGTTCTTCGAGGTTTGCTCCCTTTCCCATTTCCCCGAAAGGAGAGAGGAATGGGGGGGGGTTACTGATCTGCTCCGCAGCACCAGTACCCAATGCGGCGAACTGGGCCGCCGGAACGTTTGCGGGAACTAGCGCGATTACATATGAGGTTTGCCAGTACCGGAGGCATAAGGAGAAGGCTGGAATGCGGAGGGTTGTGGAGATTATTGATCGGAAGAAGGCCGAGAGGGAAAAGGTCCTTGTGGAGAGGAAAGAGGTGGCTATGAGGGCTGCTGAAGAGAGGGCTGTAAAGAAGGAAGCAGAAAGGCTGGAGAGTTTGAAGCCGTGGTATAAGAAGCTTTTTTAAAACAAAATGGGATGGGATGATGAGGGAAAGGTAATTGTACATCAGGTAAATAATAAGTTTGGCGTCGTTGGCTTTGCTAAACTTGACTTGGATATCTACTCCACAAAGATGTTTGGTATCACGGATCATAAGCTACAGGTGGTGGTGCGATGTAAGACTAAATTAAGTGGGTACATAAGAAGTATTGTAGTGAAAAACAATACCTCAAGAAATACCGTATCAAAAGCAATAAAACGGACATATGTCAAGCCAAATCATAAAACATAGACCCCCATCCCCCAAACTCTAAAATACCCATTACCACAGCCATATACCTAAGAAGGTTAACAGATGTAAAAAAGAAAAAAAAAAGAAACCCAAATCCACCGTGTATTCCCCACATCAGTCCCGAAATATACAGCCCCACCCCAGCAACCAGAAACATGAACATACTCCAACCCCACCAGCAACCAAGGCAAAGAAAAGAAAGAAGAAACCCGAAACCCAGATATACGCCATCCAGCCACCCAAACCGCATATACAATCCTCGCAAAAGCCATTGAGATATCATGACAGGCAGGCAGACAAAACCCCCACATCAAGCTTATCAGTAGTAGCAAGACTAAACATCAAAATGCACCCTCTTCCTCCGTCCGCGGCAATCTTCTTCGCCCTCCTCCCCTTCAGATCTATGAGTAACCCCCTTCGTCACCGCAGCCGCGGCAGTGGTATTACCATTCGTAAAGCTCTTCCTTCTCCTCCTCTCCCAGCTCCGTTTCTCCCGTGCTTCCTTAGACACCCGGGATTTATATTCTCGAATCTGCCGTTCAATGGTTAGCTCCAAGCCACTCCTCCAACTCCGGAGCATGGGCAGAATATAATATCGTACCTGCTGCAACTTCTTCTGAGCCCTAATGTAACTTTGCCTAGGAGAGGGTTTAACTCCAACCCCACTCAAGCCCCAATCACTATCCTCCTCCTCCTCCTCCTCCTCCTCCTCCTCCTCTTCTACTGCTGCTGCTCCCTCCCGGAGCCCCTGTGCCGGATGTGGGGCAGGAGCATTCCCAAGCTCCTCATCACTACTGCTCCCATACCCACCCCCTCTCCTCAGCGTTAACGGTGGTGATACCAATCTTGTGCGTTTCCCAACCACCTGTCCATCCCCATCCTCTTCCTCCCCCCCTTCATCCCGATCATCTACATCAACAACCACTCCATCCCCACAAGCCATCCCAGCATCAAGTGGGAACTTCACCCGACCAAGCGACAACCCCTCAAGCTGCCGAGCAAGTCTTCCAGAATGCGAGGAGCCCTCGGGCTCCCTTCCTCCACCTCCCCCTCCCCCTCCTTCTTCTCGCCATACGGCCGGAGGCGGCGGCGGCAGGATACTCTCTCGCTTGCGCTTGAGCGGAGAGAATAGCGTAGATTCACTTGTATATATCGCCATTTTCGTATTCAAATCTATGTTTGCAGGAGGGGACGGCGGTGGGGTTCGTTGCGTGGTGCTGTCCGTGGGGGTAGTGGTGGTAGGTTCCATGGTTGATTGATCGATGATGTAGCGGAGGGTGGATGGTGTGGTGATGCTTCGCTTTGGTCTACCCTAGCCGAGCAGAGTAGGGATAGATACCGATATGTATTATAGGCAATAAGATAAACCTCAAGTATGATACCGGTACCTATATCTCGCTGGTCGGACTGTCTTTTACCACCCAAACAAGAAAAGAAGCTCGAAGCTCAGCCTCACCCAGCCAACGTAGATCAAACCCCGTCTAGAACAACCTCCGAATCCCGCCAGGGGTTCGTTCTTTCGGAGTTTAGCCGATTAGCGAGCCAATCCAACCAAGCTTCCCCTCCTCCGTGGGCGATGATGGATTACTGTACTAGTACTCGTACAGGGAGGTTGAGTTAACCGCTATCGAGTCTAACCCTCTTTTGCATGAGTGCCGATAATATATCCTAAGTTACTGTAAATTTAATACCCACCTACCTGCCGTACCACCGTGTTTCGCAGAACGGCACTCGCCCCGGTCGTACCCGCGAATCAACTTAGGCCATTAACTATTTGTACAGCGCCGGTATTTCTCGTGCGCAGTGGTATGGTACCGCACCTCCTGGGTTTGGTCGGACGGACAAAAGGACGGCACGGTATGGTAGGTATCATACTAAAGATAATACTTGTGTTGCGATGTATAGGGGAAGGTTCGTCGGGGACCCACTGTGATAATTTACTCAATGGTACCCCAATTTACTCCATCTACCGGTCCGGTACCAAGACGACACTTTGGAGACATGTGTGGGATGAAATTCCCCACGGCACTCATGGCTAAACAAAACAAAGTTTTCGGGAGACTGCTAACTTATCATAATTACGGTAATGCATGAACCGAGTTAGGCGAGTGAGAGCACGTGAAGATGTGGGAAGTAGACTATCTAAATTATCAATGCTTTTTTTGTCTACGATTATTCCTTTCCTTCCCACACGAGATTAACCTAATAAGCTCCACCCAAGTTTCATATTGTATTAACCCGGAAGGAACTTTTTGCAATCATCTACCGTACCTCTCGCTCTCACCCCAACCCCCCACCCAAAAAAAGGAAAGGAAAGGAAAGGAAAAGGAAAATCCATCGCGGCAGTATATTTCCCTCCCCACCAAAGAGGGGGGAGAGCGCAAGAAAGAAAGAAAGAACAGAGGCCACTTCGTAAAAAATGGCGCATTAAATAGATGTATGTATGCATATATCAAAGGAAAAGGAAGAGAAAGGAAGGAAACTACGCCCTCCCAATCCTTCACATTAAACAGCCAACCATTCAAGCTAGAAATTATGAGTAGCTCGCCCCAAGGTTGTAATAAAAACGAAATACAAGCGCAGGTATCAGAGGAAGAAAAACGCAAAAACGCAAAAAAAAACAAAAAAACAAAAAAATACCAAGAGGACAATATGACAGAAACGCTCAAAAGCAGCCATTCATCATGGACATCAAAATCGTGAGAAAATGGGCAGACAGAGTTTGATGAAACCTAAACAGAAACGCAGACAAAAAGCCACAGAAGGAAATAACAATAGCCCCCGCAAAAGGTTGTCCACTAGTCCACTCCACCCTATACCTGATATCGCAACAGGCAAAACAACACAAACAAATCCAAGGAAATGGGATTACAGGTAGAAATATGTATTAAAAGGAAAGGGAGAGAGAAAAGCTTAAGCTCAAACCTCCAAGCTCGTGCCGTCTATGTAGACACGGGGCTCCTGCTCTCATTATTGTTACCAGACACTGCTCCATTTTCGCCTGCTTGAAGCTTCTCTCGCAGTTGGGCGGCGGACGACAAGCACTCGATGTACGTCCTAAACTTGATGATTTCCCTCAGCAGATAGCTGGACTTCTTTTCCCAATTGTTCATCGCCTTTGAAGAATTTGGGTGGCGTGGGGAGAACTAATTAATGTTAGCATTGAAACCCTTTCAAGAGGGAGGAGCTAAGACCTACCGTTAGGACCATAGTAGGCCTCAGGTCGTTGTGTCTAGCAAGTTCCACCTCAATGTTGGTAACATATGTTTCCAAAGCTCTTAGCTGATCAGCCTCGCCTAATGAGCTGGCGACCATGCTTTGACTTGGCGGTGCCCAATCCGTGATGTTCACCCGGTCACCCGGCAATCTTGGCCTGACCACAGTCCCGTGGTCAAGACTGCTTCTAATAGAAATTTGGAGGCTGGGCCTTGAGTCATTAGTGTTGGAGACACTTGAAGTTAAGCCAGGGCCTATCTCGCCAAGAACGTTGTCGCTCCAGCCATATTCCACGTTACTAACACCACCAATCAAAGGCTCCTTCGAAAGTCTGGCTGCCCAATAGTTGGCCGTAGAAACGAATTCCTTGACAATCTCTGCCGTGCCAACCTCGAAGAAATGAACAGCACCAGAGGGGAGTGATAAGGCCCAGACGTTAGGCCTTGCCTTCGAATAGCCAGGTGGTGGAAGTGCTAATGCGATGGTCTGCCGTAAAAGAAAAGAACCGATGGCATCTGCGTTCTCGGTCCAATTACCGCCTCCAACGACTCCAACCACAGCATCCTTATTCTTCCCTGACTGGTTGAACTGGAAAAGCCTCATCCATCCCCTCTCAATAACTGCGAAGCATTCGGTCCAGCCCCTATTCTTGGCCTTTTTGTCCATGCTTTCAAGATGATGTTTGTGCTTCAGCATTCCTTCTTTTGCCCAAGGTGCTCCAGCAAGTTCCAATTCATCACAGTCGAGCAAGGTAGCCTCTCTGTCATCGACAGAAGTCCCACTTGCTGCCTCCTCCCGGATGATAGCATGACTCAAAGCGTTAGCGAACCCAATAGATTGTGCATAGTCAGCATGCGTAAATGCTGAACCCAGTGAATCAACAGACATGGAAGTCTGGGTCTTGTCAAGAGAGTATTTGCTCCATGTGCTGGAGGCGGAGGGGCTCCACATCGATCGATCCTCGAGACTAGTCCGACTAGAGCCTGCATATGAGCCATTGTAAAGCCTGGGCCGAGACCGATTCTTAGCTGTCCACTTCGCGCCTAGTTTGCTGTCGCGATTATTGCGAGTAGTGCATCTCGCCTTGTGAGCGAGAGACTGAAAGGTCCGCTGG